TTCATCTCCTCTCAAAACTGTCTCTACGTAAATTGTATACAGTATTTAATTCCAAAAGTGCTTGAATGTTCTTGTTTTCCTTTGGCCTCTCCATCCCTTTCTACTTCGTGTGTCATGTCTCTCAGTTCATAAGCTCAGGGAGGCATCCAAAAGTCCCCACCTTATCCTTAGAACAAAGCTGTGAAGGATGTCAGGCCGAAAGAGCGAGTGATTCACCTGGAGTCACCTGATCCGGCCTTTCCAAATCACTTTTCTGGTTGGGGCGGCCACCCAGACGCCTGAGTTGCAATCTTTCCACCCCAGGGTGCAGGCAACAGGAGACTGGGAAGGTGGTCTGTTATGGACAACACTGTAATTCTTTGGGTGTTCAACTAAGCTATGTTCAAGTAGGTTAAATGTGCTGGTTCTAAGCTAGTTGGCAAGTCATGGAAGCAGACATGAAAGGAGAAAGCAGTCCTAGTGAAACTCAATATACAGACACAAGGGCGACATTTTGCAAGACATAAAAAAAAGTATGCGGGGGTTTCAAACAGAAGGAGGTCACCATGTTGATGAAATGAATCAGTGACATGTTCAGGAAAAAGAGGAGGAGTTCCGGACTGCAAGGGAAGGGAGGAGGTGGAAAACCCAGTTCACTGTCAACTGGGTCAATGGGTTAGTGGATGAAGAAGCTTTGAAGGATAATACATGTTATTATTTCATGCATGGATTATGAGTATGGTAATTTGAGCTCCTATCTAGATTGCCTTTCTCATGCAAAAGGCAAGCTCTGTTGCATTCCCCAGCCAGTCTGATCTAAAATATGTTTTCTAAAGAGTATGTTGCTCGGTGAATTTACTATTGAAGACTTCTTTCTGTCTCTTGTGGTATCCTTCCTCTGATCTCTTTCCTAGCTTCCCTCTCTATCTCTCCCTTGTCTCGGTTGTGCCAGCCCCCGCTAGCTACTTTTCCAACTTTGTATTCGAGGGATCAATTAGGATCCCACAGCCACTTGCTAGATCTACTCTTTAGTAACAGCCCCAAATAAAAGACGAAGACGATAAATACCCCTGGTCTTTCTATGACTGCATGTGACAGGGTAAACTTCTAATGCCTTTGTCATGATCTTGCGAAGCCTAGGAAAGTTTCGGTATTGAACTAATAACAATTGTGTGCTGCCGAGTCAATTGACTTACACCGACCCTTTTCAGGGTTTTCCAAGTAGAGAGCACTCAGAAGTGGTTGACCATCGCCTTCTTCTGGGGGTGCACTGGGACTGTATAGTTTTCCCCAAGGCTACCCAGGCTGCCTCTTCGCCTAAGAGGCACAGTAAAGGAAGCAAACTCCCAACTTCTGGCTCCCTAACTCTCTGAGATATCCAGAGCTTCCAGAATCCCATAGTACTTGAGGAATCTGAGTTGTACAGCTAAAGGAAATTTACAAACTCTGGATTCTTGTCAATAGCATCAACCAAAGGACATATCATCTCATAACACAGATTTCAAGTCAAAGTGAAATTGTAAAAAAGTTTGTAAATAAATGGTCTATAATCTGTTTTTCTTGTTGACCAAGTGAATTCAATGCTCGCAGGCCAATGTCCTTCATATATTACTATGACCAGAATTTAACATAGTTTTCCAGATGAAATTTAAATTAATAGATCTGAAGTTGAATTTTCCTTTGGGAAAAGGGGAAATTGCTAGCCTTGCCAAGTTGGTTGCCCCCTCCCTTTTTCTAATGAAGTCAGTGAGATGGTTCTGGATGTCTACTTGTGTTATAAGATTCAGAGGCACTGAATGGAGAGAATACCCTTGTGTTCGCTTTGAAAATTTATACTTTTAATTAGGGCATTTCCCCCCTCTTGGCATAGGTTACCACAGTCTAGTGCGTTTTCCACACACCCCTCAATTCCCCAGAAGTACTGTGTGTTTTCTTCTTCTTCTCTTCTTCCTAAAGAAGAGAGACAGGAGCTTCTTTTCATCTGTTAATATCATTATACTCCTCCATATGCTCATGAGAATAAGGAGCATGAATAAATTCTTATCAAAACCAGAGGTTCCTCAGCAATAAATATTCAATCAGTTCCACAACATGAGTATGCCCAATTCTGCTTTTTTAAAAGAAGAGTTTGTCACTGACTTATCACTTGCAAAATATATTTGGTGCAGAGTTTATTCTCTAGCCATGTTTGAATGTTTTCTGTTTCCCATGGGCTTCTAACTACTAAATCAATGTCGGAATGTGTTTTGGTAAACACTCAAATCCTACATTAATTAAGCTATTCTTCTGACCTGGTACATAGCAGAATGCAAACCATGAGAATTTCATATCATTTTACAATAGCTGAAATCCTGCCTGTCTTTGCTTTATGTGTTCCCAAGTGACATCTGAACAACCATAATATGGTTTTCAAGGTGTGTGAGATATTCACGGGGTGGTTTAACCACTGCCACCCTGATGTCAGTTTTCATACCTTAGAGGGGTTTTGAACCTTGTCTTGAGTCCTAGGCTGTCACACTACCCACTACACCCATACTGGCTCTCCAACACTTTAACTTCAACAATTTTTCATTTCCTCACCTCTCCAGTTGTGGGGAGATGATGCAAATATTTCCATGTTTTGAAATGAGAGGCAAATGCAGCTTTCTTGCAAAGTAGTCATTCATTAAGACATGAAGGCTGAAGTATAAAGCAGTGAATTTTGCTCCAGGCTTTCTCAAATATTGAAAGGGGGGTGGGAAGAAAGATCCTAATTAATTCCCAGGATGCACTCATCACTCTGAGCTTGGGAAAAAAGACTTGGGAATGCCGGCTCGGGGGCTGGTTCTGGGGGCTTTCATCTGCCAAAAACAACTTTGAGCAAATATCCCACGCAAGAACAGTATTCAGTCTTTACTAGCCCAGAAATGCAAAGAGAAACACATTGGAAATCTGCTGGAGTGTTTGCAGTGTATTGTACGCCTGTCTGGAAATAAGAGCAAGAATCTTAGTATCACAACGAAAGATTCTGTTTGAAAAGCCCCTTTCTAAAGATGGCCTAATCTTGACCCTGCAGCTTCTAGAGCTTCCTAGCAAGGGTAGCCCGTTAGATCAGTGTCACTGTGCACCACTAGACTGCAAGTGCGTTATTGCACAACAGAGTTTGAAGGGCAAGCTGCCACTAGAGGCAGGAGGACATGTCAAGGAACTAGATGGATTGGTCTTCCTCCCAATGTAATTTATCCACTATTGATGTAAACATATAGTAGACAATCAAGCTTTGGGACATATTCAGCTGAGTTTAGTCTGATTTTATATGCAACCAAAGATGTACATTGGTATCTTGAAATCAGTAAAAACGGCTTTTAAAACTTTGCACCCGATGCATTGATAGCATAGAAAAGGTGCTTCTTGCAAAGGTCAGTTAGGTAATTAGAGCTGGGCTAGATCAATTCGGATTAGCTCTGATTGTATTGGACAGCCGTTCTCTCTCCTTCTCCCTCTCAGGAAAAGTACATATGGTACAAGGAAAGGGGCAACTAGCAGGTAGAAGGTATTAATCCAATGTCTAATTTTAACCTTGAGCCTATGCTTACAGATGCTGTCATAAGTCTATGTGAGTGGGAAACTGGATCGGCCCTTCTTATGCAATAAAGGTCACTTGCCTTTGCCACAGCAAACTAGGCATAGGAACACATTTAGATTTAATCCAATTCAAATCTAAGGGAACCATTTCCCAGACATTTGTGGGAAGCTACAGTGTAAGCTGTAGCTCAGCTAGCTAATTCCACAGATCTGTGTCCCTGTGCATTACAGTAGCTAAATAGGGAGTCCCTTCATGAAATCTGCACACCTTCCCCTCTGATCTCCCTCAGTCTAGGTTAGCCCCATGACACTGTCCCCAAAACACTAGTGGGAGCGGGCAGTCAGAAAAAGTAAGGCACTCTAACCCCTTAGTGCATTGATTCACCCTGGAAACCATCCTGAAAATGAAAGGAAGCAGTGCTGGTAAATCCCATTAATTTCTAACAGGAAGGGAAATTTCTAACCGGGACATTTGGGAGGGGGGCAGGGAAGAAGCACAACCTTCCTGTGGAAGGTGTGAAGAACATCCTATGGGATGGTTGCTGCTTGGCTACTGAACTTCTAGCGTTACTCTTTGAACCCTGACATTAATTAAAACACGACCTAGCCATACTGCTTTGCTTTTTCAGACAAATCATGGCTACCATCTCAGTTCAGCAGCCCGTTCTTTAAAGCCAAGCATTAAGAGGACAAGGCTCGCTTTTATGGAATGATGACCACCACTACAACCCTGCCCTTGTGCCCTTTCTTTCTTTGAGATAAGGAGCATCTTTTTGGAACGGTTCCAGTTTTGACTGCCTTTTTTAGACTTATCCCTGCTGACTCACCGCTAGGGCTGACTTCTATGCGTATGCCGCCCCCTTGTGCCTGTTTCATAAGCGCATCATTACACTGCTGAGCTGAAGAACCAGCTGGTGAAGCCTTGAGCAAGATACATGGTCCCTCCCACCAAAGCCTATTTAAAAGCAAGATATGTTTACAGTCTTTTCCTTAATTATCACTGTAGTGATACTTTTAGAGATCAATGTGCATCTGCAGATCCAAAACACATGAATGTCAAAGATATGGTGGATCCAAAACCTTTGTCAAATCTCTTTGAGCATCCTTAAAGACTACAGAATGTTTCCAAACCAAGAGCTGGAAATGAGATTCCTTCCTACTGTTAGAAAATGAAATTGGCCACAACTGGAATGAGACAAAAATGTTTGTACTGCTAATTGCTAAGAGTAAGAAAAGTTTTTCTTCCCCTTATCGTGTACTACATATGCTCTAGCGACTGGCACATGAGAACAGAAAAGATTGCTTGGTGTCTCCGTAGCTGGGGGGTGGGGAGATTACTTTCTCAGTTTAAACTTGTATATGTTCCTTCTAGGACTACTTCTGCCAGAATGTGTATTTGCATGAAGCAATTTCCAGAAAAACGTAATTTATCAGAAATTATTTTAATGTTTCTTTCCCTATGTTATTTGTGAAATGACTAATTTTAAAACATGCAAATAAGCAGTGTGGGATATGGACAGAATACACGTTTCAATTCAGCCAAAGCTATATAGAACTAAATTATTCTTGTTGTATAATACTACGGCAGGATTGTTGTTGAACTGAAATGGTGACATGCTTCTGGAAAAGAAACACTCTGAATCCCACAACTTTTCAAACTTAAAATCCAGCAATATTAGAGAGGTCTCTTAAGCTGCTGGAGGGAAAGTGGTGGTCAAAGTGCTGGTTTCATTTGGAGACTGCAGCTGTATCCGCTTTTGCAACAGCTTCATAAGCATATTTAATTCATTTAGGAGCTCACGCATATAGGCGAGTCTTTCTTCTTTGGGCATGGAATTGGACGGATCTGATAAACGGTCTACCATTTCTGATAATCTCTCTTGAGTTTGTAAAGCCGTTATTGTAAAATGAACAGTGTGGCCTGATAGGGTGTCTGCAGCTTCTGCTTCTCTTTTCTCTGGGAATTTTCTTGTATACCTGCTGTCTATTGTTTTCTGCTCCTTTGTTTTTAACATGTTGCTCAGATATGTCTCCTCCAAATTGTTTTCATTAGTACGTGAACGGAAAAGGCTTCGCTTCAGTCTTTTCAACAATGTTCTCTGGCTGCTGGTTGGGGTAAAGCAAGAAGACAAACTTTAGGATAAGTCACACCTATCAGAGGGTTTTGTAGAAAGAAAGTGTGATTTTTCTTTCCTTCAAATTTTAACACTTGTCCTTTCTGAGAGGTGATGATTTTCTCTGATTTTTATTGGCTTTCCCCCTTCCTCTTAAAAATATTATAACATTGCCTATGTTTTAGAATCATTACCACCAAAACATACATTTCTTATACAATTACGTACAGTCTCACCCCCCCCCCAACCTGCAACCTGCACTATGGATTTCTAAATTTTACCTTCACCACTGTGTGGGTTATTACATACACTTGCCTTTTAACTAACTTTCTGACAGCGGAGAGCTGTCTGTATATAGGACGTGGCTCTGCCCTCCTCACAAACTCAAAAAATTCTGCCTTTCTTTTCTTGAAAGAGTTTCTGTCTGTCTTGTTAGGTATCTGGTGCTTCTTTTTCTGCAAAATACAGTACCATTGTTGAGTAAAATATGAAGAAATTGGTCTTTGCAACAAACTCGGATGCAAAACTGGAATACAGTACTGCTGTGCAACAACTTAGTGATGTCCTGCACACTTCCTGAACCCTCTTCCCAGTACATCAGTGGCATGACAGAAACTGAGCGGCCTGTTGCCTCCTCCCCCTCTTCCTCCAACCCTGTGAAAAAAAGGCAGGACAAAGAAAGGGGAGGCACAACTGATGCCAAACCCACAAGGAGAATCTTTAGCCCTGTCTCTCATTCATGAAAATGACAAGGAGCCTGAAATACACAGGGAAACAATTACAACATTACACAGCTACATGAGCATTAAAGCAATCCACCCCATTTTGCATGCAACAATTTGTTTTCCTATTCTAGCATGTGTTTACCTGCCATGCTAACATCTCTGGACTGATGGGCTGCAAATCACTCAGAATCATGCACTTCAGATCATTAGATTCTTGGACAGCCTGGGTCATATAAAACCCAAACGGTGCCTCTATGAAAAGAAGTTGTGGCAAATAATTATAATTTTAAAAACCCTGATAAGTTTGGCTTTTGAAGTAAATTTCTTCCCATAAAAACGTGTAAAGCATTTTAAAAGAAACTCCATGGAAAGGGCCGACTTTGTATTGACAGATCCAAAGTATTTACTAGTCTGATTTGTTTTTTTTTTTTTAAACATAGGATGAATCTTTGGACATCAGGTTTCATTCCGAAGCAATGCCCCCTCAACTCAGGGGGGCTTCTTCCAGAAACTGCTTGGTTTGGATTCCACCCTTGGGCAGACTTTGATGAGACTTGACCAATATTATTCTGGCTTTGCTACTCTACCAATGGTGGGCATAAATTGGTGGCAACCACCAATCAGCAAGGGTTTTTTTTTTTTTTTTTGGTACCTGATCGCTTTTGCAGTATAATAACAACATCTGGGTGAAGTTGCCACTCTTTCACAGATTCTGCATGAAACTTTTCCAGCCATTTAAATTGAGCCTTCAAAAGACAAAGAATTGGTAAAAGTATTGTATTCAGACTAGTGAAAGAAAAGTCACAAATATGAAATGCTCTTGGGGTCTATTAGGGTCACCATAAGTCAGCTATATGTTAATGGCACATAACACACATATGTGTTGGCTCGTAAGAAGATGGGATCCACGGGAGTGGAGTGGATAATGTCGAACTAGGGCTGAGCAGACCAGGGTTCAAATCCCTGCTCAGTCAAGGAAACTGGCAAGGAGAGTAGAATGGGTAAAACGGCTCCTTTAAAAATCCCGCATACATCAGAAACCTTACTAGTGTTGCTGTAAGCCAGAATGTACACAACATACACAGAAGAAAATACAAATTCAAGTAATAAAAATATAAATGACTTTTCTTTGTAGCTCCACGCACTTCACCCACCAAACTTATTAGTATGCTGTAATAGTTACAATAAGTTTTTATCAAGTACAACTTCATGATTAGTCCAGCATGGCAGCATATCACAACATCCTGACAAATTTCAATTTGAGTATAAAAAACATTGATCTATGCTCAAGGTGAGTTGGATGGAAAGCCTATGTTTTTGTATGGTCATATTTTAGAAACACCCCAAAATAATTTCTGCTTACAAGGACAATCTGAATAGCTTAGTTTCTTACGACTTCTGGATTTATTCTTATGAAACATGGTATATTCTTAATTTTGACTTAAATCATCCTTACCTCAGCATTCTTAATATAACATAAGACAAAGTCTTTAATAGTTGCTTAGTACTAAAAACAAAAAGGAACTTTACCTGATCCTTTATTCTATTAGCTAGGGAAGGGGAAAAAAGGGGTAGAAAGTTTAATAATTCATCAAGGCAATTAGAAGAATACTAACTGCATGCTTCTTTTGCATACAGTTACTTCAAGAATTGAAACAGAACCTTTACCCTTTTATAATGACAAAAAATAAAACAAATAGATATTGATCTAGCCTGCAGAACTACAGTACATCGTTTTGAATTTATTTAATGTGAATGCTGGCTCAACGTGAACAAATATTTTATTCCAAATACACACTGTTGGGATTTGCCAAAATAACCTTGGACACTTGTAAGCAATATCCAGGCTCCACTATCTTAATAAGTGGTTTATATTTTCAGCGTGTTTGTTTTATTATTTCTTTCATCACTACCACTTTTCACTCAAATCTATGGATTCTCCCCTGACATCTATTTTAACTAATCTGTTTCTCAAAGACTAGTTCTTTCAACTGACAGGTGGTTTATCTTATCTGTAAAAATTATTCTTTCTCCACTTTGCACCACCCTCATAAGATCTATCTGCAGCAGCAAAGTTTCGACTCCTAATCTGTCTGCCCCAGAAAACACATTTGCTCCCACAGGCTGTTCGGGCTGAAAAATGGCAAAAGGATATAAAATGCAACTCAAGTAGCCTTGACCTGAATAGGTATCTGCCATGAATTTTTCAGACTCTGATCTAAAGTTTTTCTATACTATCCATGAAGGGCTGGTGCACAGCCTTAGAAAGTGAGACTTCACTCACAAAAGCTTACGATTAGTGTGATTTTTTTCCTGTTGTTCAATAAAGGTTTCTCCTTACTCCTGCATTTGTGTAATTCTGAACCACACAGCCTTTTCTTAATTCTGACTGTATGAGGTGACTGCAACAAAAATGACAAATTGACTCATAGTATCTTCAAGACCAAGCAAGTTTTTAAGAGGACAAGTTTTGGGGAATCGCTCTTTAGTTTATGTAAACATTGTGAAAATGATGCCTGACATTATGTGTGATTCTTCCAAGATGCTACAAGACAGAGTTGTTCAGGAAAAACGAATCACAGTTTAAAAATTCTTATTATTTATGGGTTACTGAGACTACAGTACTGGGTTGTAATCCAGCAAACCAAGTGTCCAAAGATACCATACAAAAGTTTATTTTCTTGTGACAATTCTGTTACTAAATGACTTCCGCCCAAATTGTGTGGGTGGACTGCTTTAATTTTACCCCTACACTGTCTCTTGATTGCAGAGATACAATCTGTACACAGTCTTACCTAAAATGTGGTAAAAAGAGGCTATTAAGAGAAAAACCCTAAATGTCCCATTACTGGCTCCTAAGGCCATAATGTACAGGTAAAGTAGCAGGATCTTTTTAAAGAGATGAAGGAAGAGAAGAAAGCCATAAAATGTGGAATCCTAGCTGCCTTAATGCATAAATATCGATCCCAGTTTTTAAAGAAATCGCGAAATTAACGTAATAAACTGCATGTGGGCCAGTTTTGGTGCCTAAACTTCCTTCCAACAGGGTGTTTTTCAGTCAGGAGAGAAACCCAGAAAAAGGGAATTGTGTACATTCAGTCCAAAAACGACAACGTTAGTGGATTTCCCTGTTTGAAATCTGAGGGCAAGTGAAATAAATCAGTTTTGGCTTTAAAAAACGAAAACAAAACCCTAGACGCCCGGGAAGACCCTTTTCCAACCCCCCATTTTCTCCAACGTCGCCCCTAAACGCGGGCCGTCTGAGGCAAACCCCTCCGGCACAAAATGGGGATAACAAACAGCAGTTGGAAAAGCGCGGGAAAGAGAATGAGGGAGAGGGAGGCGGCGCCCCTCCCTGTCGGTTTCTTGCCCCGCCAAGCGCAGCCACGTCCTGATTGGAGAAAGGGAGGGCGGAAAGAATGAGTGCGACGAATGCTGACCAATCCTGGGCGGCGCTTGGTCCCTGGCGTCTTTCTTCGGTAAACCCCGTCTGGAAAAAAAAAGCGCTCTCCTTTCTCCCCGCCCCCTCCCGCTCTTCCCTCACGGCGTCCTTTCGCTCTCGCTCTGGGCGCCATTTTGAAATGAGGGATAGGAAGAAATGGCGTACCCTTCCTGCCGCTGTCACGAGGCACCCGTGTTTCTTTGTCGCCTCCCCCAAGAGCCAAAATCCTTAGTTCGTCTTAGTTCGCCTTTCCTGCAAGCGGTCTCAGTTGCCTGTTTTTATCGGGCTCTCCAATCCACTTCAAATTAATCTCCTCACAACCACCCTGGGAGGGAATGCAGGCTGAGGAGAGGCAGCCAGTCACTGGCCCAGGGGACACCCGCAGAAGAGCGTGAGGGCTCTCTTCAGCGCTCCTCACAATCCTGTCTGGCTTTGGCCACCTTTTGTGTGAAAAGTGTGTCAAAAAAACCCAGTTTCGACAGAATACCCTCGTTTTGGAGGTTGGGTGCTGTTGAACAGGTGCAGGACATCCCAACCGCCCTGCAGTGTAGGCTAGTCAGGCTTAAATCTGGTAATAATTTGAACAAGCCTGGAATAGAACTTGCCATAGAGGTCAGCCTGAGGCAGTGCCTGCTTAGTGTGGCCAAGATACAGTGTACTTTCTTATATGTATGTTGTATGGGTATACTGTGTATATACTTACAATAAATTGTTATTATTAATTGGTTACATTTATATCCCATTTTTAACTGCAGGATAGCTCCCTAGTTCAGGCCTCTGGCTGTGGAGCCAGATGTTGGGAATTAGATTCCTTGCTGTGCCTCCTTGACGGGCTGGACTCGGTGGTCCATAGGAGGGTCCCTTCCAGCTCTGCCGTTCTAAGATGATGGTGATAATTATTCTTAATGAACTGCTGGACAGCTCGGTGGTTTAGTTTGATTCCCTTACTCTGCCTCCTTGATAGGGGCTGGATTCAGTGATCCATGGGGTCCCTTCCACCTCTGCAGTTCTAAGATGAGGATGAGGACTGTTCTCCAGCAAGTTCAAAGTGATGTGTTTGGCTGTTCTCCCCTTTGAGTTCTAGTCTCGTACAGCAGCTCTGCAGTGTAGGACCCTGTCAATCTTGCAAAGGCTGCGCCACCCAAAATATTCCTCAAATTGCAACAGAGGCTCAATCTAATTAGATTGCCTTTGCAGATCCTAGGCTGTGAAAGCTTCACGCGGCAGACAGAGCGCAAAATGTGCTTTAAAATTTAAATAAATCCAAGGAAGCAGCAACGTGGATAGAGATTTTTCCTGTGGATGTATGTACCTTGTTCTGTCAGACCTTGGTAGTAAAGGTTGCGTAGAATCTCCCATACAGCTAGACCAGTAGACATGCTGGCTGGGGATTCTGGGAGCTGTAGTCCAAAAAAATTACCTCTTCCAACTCTACCAAAATGCCTCAAAACGTGAAATTCAGAAAAGTTGAAAGCACAGCTCAGCTCCCCCCCCCAAGACAAAAAGCAAAGAGATCACCTGCAAATATATTTTGCTGGAATAGTAAGTATATATTACTGGAGTAGTAAGTATATATTACTGGACTGGTAAGTATATTGATATGCCGTATTATCCACCTCAGCATGTATCAAAACGGGTGTGTTTTCTACCCTTTCACTGTATGATAATATGAATACAATTAAAAATTGAGTTTATCAAGAAGTAATTACAGCTAGGAAAACATTAGACTTGCTTGGGCTTGCAATTCAGTTGTGAGGATACAAGATAGAAGCTTGAGTATTTAACAAAACACAAGCAAACAGGCTTCAAAAGCATTAAGATGGCAATACGGCCACTTCCAACAGCAACTCTTTTAATTGCTCTTTTCTTTCGGACTGAAAGGCCCAGAGTTGCATTCAGCCAGTTTCTTGAAGCTAGAGACGAGTAACGGTCACCCTCCAGATGTAGTCAGACTGCAATGCCTGTAACTGTCCTTACTGACCCGGAATGGAATCTAGGAGTCTCAGCCCAACATCTGGAGGGCCACAGCTGCCATGCCCTACAAGATAACCTTAAATAGATATTTTGTTACTTGCCGCTGAGTAACTAATGTCAGACATGACCTGACATTCAGGTAGGGTCTTTAGACCTCCTAGTTTTTCTCAGTAAGTAAAAGAAAAGAAAAAAAAAACATTCTTTAATAATAAACCAACAATATTTCAGATTGAAAATCCTTTAATTTAAAATTTACATCACACAGGGAGAAAACACTCACATTCTGTCACAACTAAAATCCATCAGAGGTGTGCTGTAGCAATTTGTTTCATTTAACACTGTCATGGCTTTTTGAAAACACAGTTGCACAAAAAGATTACTTCCAAGGTTGTGTGGGGGTTTTGTTTTGGAATTCAAAAAGGAACTGAACACACTATATACATACTGGCATATAAACAGCATTCAAATAGGACAAAATCTCTACAAAATATAAAACCCACCCTTACATATTTTTATTAAAGAACCCACCAATCACCCCCAAACTTAAAAAAAAAAAGAACCAAAGGTTATCAAGAGGCTCTGTGTTACTTTCTTAAGCAAGCAAAAGAAAAACTCCCCTACTATTTTGATTACACAAAACTCAAAACTGTGGCAATGTATTTAGCTGGTTGTGTTACTTTTATTGTAAAAAAGATCTTTAGAGAAGTTGTAAACTTATTTAAAAATTTGCTATGTATATGCTTGGTTTCAGATTATTCCACGACACCCTTAAAAAAAGCTTATAAGCTTTTTAAAATGGTTGAAGGCAGACACACCTACTTAGAGTTGTCATTTACTTCAAAACTGTCTTTCTAAAATGTTTATTGTTCTGACTCACTCATCTTTTTTATATTAGTGCAGGAGTTTGGATGCATACTTGGAAATTCTCTCACTAATTTCAACAAAAAGATCAACTCAGAGGTTAGAGGAAATCCACTTTTTAAAAAAACTAACATTACTCTGGTTGACATGACTCTGGAACAACTCTCCAAGCCTGTGGACAAACCACACTATGTATGTGATATAATACAAGCTAGCCACTCCATTTGAGTACTTGCTTTCTTTTTGTGTGTGTATAATTGAAAGGTTTTACTATTTGCTGAAACTAAACAGAATTAAACGTTCAAAAACATAAAAGGAGAGAGAGAAACACACCACATAAAATCAAGATTAATGCAAACTAACTGTTTTAAACACAGAACCTCAAGGACTTCTTTTTTATGTTTTTAAAACTGATTATTCATACACAAACATATTAGTATTATTGGGATAAAGCTTTACAAAATCCTTTTACTAAAGGATTTTAAAAAATCTTTTAGTTATGATATTTAAAAATATCCAGACTCTCTACTAAATTACCTTTTGCATTCCATTCTGTTTAAATCAGCCTTTAAAATAAGCTGCACTATGGCCGATAATTCAGGAAAACATGTAGTTTTTGTTGATCTTCTGAGATGCAGTGCCATTAAAACTAAAGGGAGAATTTAATGTCATATACTATGAGTGCCAGTGTAATGCATTATCTGTATTCACAGGCACCAGTAGTAGGGACTGATTCCACCTTTGCCAAAAATACCCCTTTTATCCTAACCTGAACTAGTGACAGCTGTTCCTGGGCAAGATAGGTAATAAAAAAATAGTTTATCTTCAATACAGCTGTGTATTATTTGGGTAAAATATATAACAATACAAGTTAGTCTGTTCTAAGAAAGAACCAAAGAGCTCTGTGTGTTCAGTTTTCTACTAGTTTTTAAAAAGCAACCTGCATATAGTGAACTAAGATCCACAACAACCAGTTTTGTCTCCATCAAGTCTCTAAATCATTTATCTTGTCTTTTGGGATGAGTGTTGTAACAATTTTCTGCAACTTTCCAAAACTCAATTTGAAAATTATTTCCTGTGTCCTTCAAAAATTCCACCAGCAAGACCTATACTTTAAAGGAAGACAATCAGTGGTGGCTTCTAAGCTAATGTTAACCCAACGACAATTTTCAGCTGGGTCTCCTTTTCCAGAGTTTTTCTGTTTTGTTTTTTGTTTTCTTAATGATGAAAACAAATACCTTTGAGCTTCCAGGCAACCAGCTCCTCATCTGCAGCTTCAATATAGAAAGAGAATTGGCAAGAAATTCTGCACTGGCCAACCTATCTGCCAACTGTTGCTTTAAAAGCAAAAAATATAAATAGCTTAGTTTAAAAGGTATTACTGAAAGCCTAAATTCAGGATTTTAAAATAAAAGTACTGAAAGATGTGTCTTCCATTTAGTCCTGACAAATATAATGGACAGAAGAATAATACAAAGTAGATTATGAACCTGAATAATCCAGATTTGTTTTAGAAAAAGCAGAGTTTGGAAATCTTAACTTTCTTTGGACTATTAATTTGTCAGAAGTATAGATTATTCCATACTTTGACTATAGCCAAAGGCAGTACTGTCTTGTAAGGATGGTATTTCTGGCAGCTGTAGTAAAAAAAAGTAACTTTTCCAGGCTTTGAAAGTGAGATTCAAATAGCTGGTCCTTTGTACTTCCATGGATGTGCACAAAGTTCTTTAGAAAACAGTGTGCACACATGTATGTTGAGAAGGTGTGTTTTAATGAACAAGAAATTCCAGATAACAGCCCATGTGTGTATTCTTCAGATACCCTTTTCAAATGAGGCACAATACTGAGCAAGGTCATGATTTTGCCTATTTGCCATTTCATTACAGCAATAGATTGCCTCATGAAAAGCTGATTAGTCCACTACAACATATTTTACTTTATAGCAGGACCCCCTTATCCATGGGATCAGTATCCATGGATTCATTTATTCATGGTCTGAAAATATTAAAAAAAGAAAAATCCCAAAAATATTATTTCTCATGATGAAGTTACCAGAACTGAACACTACAAGAAGCCAGAGACCATGTTATGTATAGCATTCGCTATTATAATAACGTTTGCTATAATCCATGTTTCCAGCATCTGTGGGGGAGAGGGGCATGGAACCGATCCCCCCACAGATACGGAGAGACCTACTGTACTATCTAAAAGTTGATTTAAATTTGTTGGATCTGGCTTGTGTAACTGTGGTTAAAACTAACAGCATGCTCAGATGAAAATGCAATAGGGGGAAAATCTGGGGGGCAATGGAGGGAAGTTGGGGAGACAACTGGTCTAATGATTTAAAAGGATGAGAAAAGTGTTCTATGCACATGATCAATAATGGGCTATTACTGCTTAGTTGGAATGATAAAAAGGGGCAGAAATAGTAAAAACACACTTCCTATAAAAAGTTAACACATTAATATCTTCTGTAGGGATATCTATGATACACGGAGACATACAAGGCTGCATATCACTAGTGTGTATCCTGCAACAAAAATGAACATGGTCCTATTTCTGTTTTCCTACAACTTAATCATCGTCTTCATCTCCTTCATCTTCAGCTGCACGTTTTCTCTTCTCCCCTCGGACACCTTCACCTATGGAAAAGAGGTTTGTCACTTTTTTTCAAACATAAAATACCACCCTTGCTATAACATGTTGTTACAGACAGACACAGAGACAGATATATGCATATACACAGGCAGTATTTTATCACCTCTCGGTATCTGGCAGCTAATTTTAAGGAAATACATCAATGTGACATGGCCAACATATATTGCATCTCCAGTATTTCAAATACCAGAATACTGCTGGCCCCAGGCAATGCAAACAGGCAGTCATACAACTGAGCCCACCTTTGCTGCTGGTTGGCCATCACACTCTCCAGCTTCCACAGAACACAGAAGCAACTGAGTAACAGACAGCAAGCAATGATGGATAAATCATCATGCAGTTGCCTTGAAGTACATAGTTTATGTCACCAAGATTTTGAGCCATGAAGTCTAAAAACAGATGCCAAGGTTTGCTTTGCTCTCCTTTTTCATTTGAGCATCACACACCCCTGGTGCTTCATGCAGCCTCTAAGATTAATATAGTTTAATTAGTAAGATAAATCAGAACTTTGTCACAGTTCAGATCAATAGACTGTAACTTCTCATTGGTATGAATGCAGAAGTTTCCTTCTTCCCACCAAAGACTTTTTCTGTCAGAGGACAAGAACCTCTGAACACAAACCAGTACACATTTTAGATGTCTAAAAAAATTAATGCAAATATATTCATAGGAAAATAAAACAAAACCTGGAACTATTTAAAGCTGCCTTTTATTAATGTCCTCCTTTTGACAACTTGTATTTATTGTATTTAAATCTGATTTATATTGGCTTTGGAGAGCTATGTTGCATTTGATTGTATTGTACTGCTTTGTAGTGTATTGTTTACTTATGCATTACAGTAATTGTTTTTAACTGATTGGATTATTTGTGTTTATGTGTAGGCTTTTGGCCATCTAGAGTGCATTGCATTATTGGGCAGTATATGTTGAATGAATGAATGAATATGAAACATACCTTCCTCTTCCTCATTGTCTCTCTCTTCTACATAATCATCATCATCCTCTTCATCCTTTGAGGGAAACATATTGATATTATCAGGACTTCAGTGTCACCCATAGAATCTGCCACTTAATTAAATCTTTTTGGAGGCTCATGCTCCTTACGCTTCCTTACTCAGTTACTGCAAGAGCATAGGCATGTGAAGGCCAAGACAAAACTGTTTATATAAATACAAAAAGAAGTAATACAGCTGCTGAGATGCAACATTCTCTGGGCCGCATAAAAGGAGGAGGGGAAGAAAGGAAGAGGGGGAAATCCTCAAAAAGTAGTGTATCCCCTGCCAGGCACAGTGAAATCAAATTAATTTTCTCCAGGATCAACACAAAGGACATATATTGTACAAGTTCTCAGTTATGTACTATTATCATTTTCCAGGGCAGGCTACTGCCAAGCTGCAGCACTTCCAGGTCAGAGTATTCTGACATTTTCTGAGCTCTTCACCAAATACTGTTGCACTGCAGCCCCTAGCCATCCGCAGCCCAGCTTGCTGCCTATCATTGATGGGAGCTAGAGTCCAAGAAAATGTGGAGAGCTGCACTTTGTCAATTGCTGTCCATTTATCTGGAAATAAGCCCTAAAGAGGACTGAGCTTGCTCACCTGAATTTCATCTTTCATCAAATATGAAAGACCCACTTCTTCTTCCTCCTCTTCTTCACCTTCACCCTCCCCCAAGTCTGAACCTTCCTCGTCTTCCTCATCATTCTCTTCATATTCTCCTGGAGGACCGGCTTTGTCTTCATCTTCTTCATCCTCCTCTTCATCCCCATCTGAAGGAAAGGGAATGCTAATAAATGTATGATGCAGATGTCCACTCTTGTTCCCGAATTTATGGGCCAATTTACAGGTTCCAAACCAACAGATGTAGTCCTCCTGGGACAATAACAGTTACCAACACAATGCAGGACACAGCAGGTTTGAATACACTGGAAAACCTTCTGCTTACTGCAGCAGATAGCATTTACTAAACCCTTCAAAGTGTTTTTGTGGGCCCAAAGTCTTTGACACAAGGAAGCATTCAAAAAGCTGATTCCACCACCTGCATTTGGAAGTGGTACAGTTCAAAGAAGATCAGAAAACATGCATTGTTTCCTGAATGTGTAGATTAATGTTAAGGCCAACTGAAGATTAGATTCTTTCCCAGGAAAAAACACAGTAAGGCTGTAAACAAGAGAATATTACGTGGTTCATATAGGTTTATCTAACCAGCTATTTTCAAAATGCACTGAAGTGCATTCATTACAATATTACAGATAAAACTAAACAGCACCTTAATCAAGGTTTTTCTGGATCCATTTGAGGGAAGCAGTTAATCACTAAAAACATATATAGTTATAAGAGTTACTAACAAACAAGTGTTTAAGCAAAACATTTTGGCTTCTCCTTTCTTCAGTTGCTCTGGTAAAAATACACTGTTTCAAAGATGGCAGTTACAGAACCAAAAAATATTACATTACAATACAGTATATTAATATCTTATCACTAATGTGCTTTAGCAAAACTTTTACCTGTTTTTTTTTGTATTCATAAGCATAGTTTTGAGCAATGAATTTTTAGCCATTTAATTTCTATGACCCTTGCTATATTTCAAGCTTGTTACTCTCAATCTCAGCTGGCATCCAACACAGAAAATGCTTCAAAACTTTTGTAGGAAAAAGAACATGATAGGAAACAATTACCTTCATCCTCTTCATCTTCTGAGTCAGGAGCCTCATTATCGTCCTGATCAAACCCGTCTAAATACGTGATTTGTTGAAGCAGCTCAAAGACACTTTCTCTGTAATCTTTTGGTTTTGTGATTTCACAGTTAAACAAATCAAGACTCTTCAGGTTCTTAAGATTTTTCTGAAAAGACAACAACTTATAAATTTTCTAAGCTAATGCAACATATTTCTAAGTGTTTTGTAAAATAAAATTGCTGGCATAAACATTGGTAGGCCCAACAGTTCATGCTACATACAATTGCACAGGCACATGCTCTGTTGAACACAGTCAGCCTTACTTATGTTCTTTAAATATTTCACAACCCCACTAACCAAGAAGGCTTATAATGTTTACAAATATAAATACGGAACTGTTAAGGAATGTTCCAGTCATTGCCTTCTGGTTTATTTATAATTGTTGGCAACATTTGGAGAAGATACGTGTTTCAACAAGAGATGGACATAAACTCCTTATTCATTATAGCCTATGATTCTTAGCAGCTGACTCTCCTTTCTATGGTGGAAGTTAGCAATGGAGCTAACAGCCAGTTAACTGGTGGGATGACTAGAATGGATGGTACTAAATTTTCTAAACCATTTCACCATAAAATCAGTTTACTAGGGCTGTATCTGGTACTTGGTAAATGTTTATCTGCTTACAACTGAAACCCCTGCTACACAATTATGCTACAAAAACATTAAGCAAGGAGGCTGTAGCTCAGTGACACAGCACATGCTTTGCACATCAAGGGCTCCAACCAGATGCAGTTCCTGGTGGTAGCACCTCCTGAGAAGGCAAGGAAGAAACCCTGGTGATGTGTCTCCCATGGCTGTCAGCAATCCTGTGCTGCGGAGACTCTGTATGAGGCAGCTCCTGATCTTCTTTTAAGATTGGAAGCCTATATCCATTTGCCTGGAAAGAAGTCCCAGGGAAAGAAGAGGGACTGGCTTCTGAGTAGACAGCCACAAACCTTGCCCACTTTCCTACTTACCAGGGATTCCACGGTGCTGAGGTCTTTGATTTTGTTGCCACTCAGATTTAAGTATGTGAGATTTGGACATCTCTCTGCAAGGACCTCCAGGCCTCCAGAAATTAAGTTGTCACTCAGTTCCAACTAGAATGCAGAAGTGTTCTATCATCAGGCAGGTGAACTGTGAATACTGTTCCAAGTCTATGTTTTTGGATTATTCTTATTATAACATTTCTATACTGCCTTTTAACATTTATAGACCATGTTTCATTTCAAACATTTCAGAAGTTTACAATATTGTCTATCAAGACCCACATAATACAACAATAAATTTAAAAAAGTAAAATAGTAACACAATGACACATTTCACTAATCACTGAGTAACTGATGATTTCTTAAAAATAAAATCCTCTGTTTCTAGGAATCTGAACAAACGTGTTTTACAGACATTTTGTAAGCAAAAGTGGTTGTACTTTGACTTTTCCAAAACCCAAACCATAACTCTAATTAATTTGTTCATGTAATTTACACCCTGCCTTCCTCCCAATAAAGGAGAAAATATATATTGCACTATTCACATATTCTTACTAACAAATTCTGAATAGAGTTTGGAAAACACTCCTGCCTGCAGTGATTTGGGAGAGGGCAGAGTGCGGGATTCTAGGTCTTAAAATGTTTAAAAACTGTGTCCAACATACCTCGCAAGATGGTAGTGAGGATAACAGATATCACACTATACAAGCTCCTGGAGGAAAACTAACAACATGACCAACTCTCCCAATGCAGAACTCATATCACTGACAGATCTTGACAGAAATGAACTATGTAGGCACAAGGATTCACAAAGTTCTGTGTGCTAAGTCAAGTTGATCTTAGTGGTGAATGACAGCCTGACACGTACCTTTCGCAGCTTATTCAAAGTGGGGAGTTTTGCTAGTGACGTCAATTCTGTGTTGGCCATGCTGAGGAACTCTAGTTCTTTGAATGTGTCATTCAGACCTTCAATTTCACCATTGTTGGATCGAGAGTTGTCGAGTACTAGCTCAGTGACCTGCAACAACATCGCAGCATTGTTTTTGAACTTAAAAATGGCTCAGGACGCTTTCATCATATTCAGGCAACTGCACAGACACAACAAATTGTCATATGCCAGGGGAAAGGTGATTATTCAAACTTTAAAAGTCAAGAAAAGGCCATGCAAGTTATCAACTTGTTGGGTAGTCATTGATGGGTGAAACATTGCTATTAGCCTTCTTTCACAACTGTTATGGCACACTTCTCAGAAGTCATAATCTGAGAAGTGGTGGACTACTTGTTCAGCATCTTGAGAATACCCTGTGCAAGTGGGTCTTGGAAGACATTTTTTTCAGTGTAACCTCACATCCTAATAGAAATGCTCCTGTTCAGGACTCCAGCCAGCCAGGCTCTCCTTAAGGATACTATTTATCTCACCTTATAGTCAACTAGGTATACAGCATACACTAAAGAGGCTGCCACAATGCAGCCATTCTATTTTAACCCAGTTATTCCTCACATTTTGGGGAAACTGAGGAGAGTAGTCTGCAACTGTTTACTATTTCTTCCAATTGAATGTTAATAATAATAAATGTTTTATTATGGTCATTGACCAGCAAAAGTAAAGAACATTATTTACATTAGCAAACACAAAATTAATCTAAAAACATCTCTATATATCTATATCTATATATCTATATCTATATATACTGTATATCTGTGTGTGTGTATGTATGTATGCATATGTATGCATAATTGAATGTTTGCACTGTTGTCAGGATTCTCTTGAGCATGTTATTTCCTATAAATAATTCTTTTAAAATTCTGTTTCTAGCAACACTCGCTACCTGAGTTCACTAAAGATGATCATGAATCCACAATCTACGTATTTTAACAGCTGCTCCCAAACCACTTTAAGAACCTGCAATATATATACTACTGTAGGTAAGTACAATCTACAAATTTCTTATCCAGAAAAAAAGTTGTAGCTTTGAAAACTTCAGAATATCCCATTAATTGTTCCTTTGCATCCAATTCTCAGTTCTACCTTTCTGTGCCATTGGTATGTTTTCCAACTTACTCCTGCAGTTGTGATGAGATGACTAGAACTATATATGTTTTCAGTTTATTTGGGGCACCTGGATTTTGTAGACAGGGTGATTCGGGACCTCATGAGAGCACAGAGAAATCTTGGTTCTTCCATGGAACTAGATCCTTGGTGATTAGCTAATACTGTAGTCACTTTATATCATGAACATACCCCCCCCCCAGTTCTGTGCTGAAAAACTGGATAATCCTGGTATTTGTACTGTATAACCAAAAGCATATTGAGCCTGCTAGAGGGAAGTGTGTAGTAAAAAAGGACAAGTAGTAGAGATATTATCTGACTTGAACAGAGCAATTCAGAAGGGATTTCAAACTTCATTTAAGATGAGCTTTCCTTAAGCCCGTGCTTTCTGGCCTGCCATGTAATCAGCAAGGCAAGAACTGCGGAAAGTGAAACTCAACACTTGTTGATTCTTCCCCCAGCGCATGTGAGGGCTTGGCACTCTGAGCATCCTCTCTATTGCTCATGGACATCAGTGCTGCACTAACGCTTACATGGCGTGTGAAGGTTTCAACTGCCCTCTGGGGTATCTGGATACTTGTGGTGTTGTTTCCTGTGAGATGGCAGACTGGTTCCCCAGTGTGTCTTGTACGCTGCCCAGTCTGTGTCCACGTACAGCACATTCACACACAAGAGCTTTGCAGAAGTGTGACAAAAAGAAAGGAAGGAAGCAGGCCTTTTGTATACTTGCCACTTGATAAAAAGTGCCAGTATTCTGCCGCAAGGTGCCATGGCTGGAAAAAAAAATGTGGGCTTGTCCCTCGTGTAGAATATCCAGTTTTGCAGGCAAAATTATATCACTTCGCGTAATGTAATTCTGCTTCTCCTGAACAAGGCAGGCAAAGGCTTGCACAAAGCCCTGAAGGCCTAACCAGTGGAACTCTTGCCTGGAATTCTGAGAAATAGAAACACTTAAATTCCTAGGAAAAGACCTTGTACTCCCATATGCCTACTCCTTGCCTTTTCTGCACTTATCCTGAACTGCAGAATACTCAATGCCCTGGAAAGGTGGCTTTCCTTAAAAATGGGTACCAATGCTTTTAGGAGGCTATTATGTTATGCTTAGAACTCAGCCTGACCTAAATGCGGGAACATCTGCTGGAGCAGCAAGTCAGAGTCATTAGTTCAACAGCCGGGAAGTAGAGAGGCTGCAAGATGATCACTCTGATCTCCTTGCGCAGATGGCCCAACTGTGGAATTACTCCTGAAGTGTTTAGCTGAGCCGGTTCCGCTTGTCTCCCCCTCCCACCAGAAGGGAAGCAATTAGAAGCTGTTGTCATGGCTCAGATATTCTGTGTATTTCACACAGAGAATTTGAGGGTACTGCTCTGTCAAGCTTGGGGGTTTCCCCTTGTAAATATACATAGATCTGTTGAAAAAAAAAACCATCCAAATCAGCAGTGCCGGAGGGGGAGAGGTCGTACTGAGCGGTTTTGTCCCAGGAATTCTCAATCCGCGGAAATGCACCAGGGGTGGGACACCAGCAGCCCAAGAGGTTCCAGAAGCAGTGCTAATAATTAGTAACAATGTTTCCACAATTGTAGCTATCAAGAGAGTTACAGTACTGTGTTTGTTTGCTTCCATTTAATCTTCAAAATACTGCCACAATGTGTTTTATGCATTTACAGGTTACTGCAAATGGTAATATCTGCCAAAGTGTAAATGTTCTATTTGGGGTAGGGGGACTGCCTTTTTTGTTTCGATGGTGGCGGGTCCCTGCTTCTTTTTTTTATTTAGGGAGGGCGATGCAAGGTACAAAACAATTAAGAGCCAAGGCTATAACTTAACTGGAGTAACGGAACTCTCCAGCGACATGAACCAGAGAGCGAAGCAAATGGCAGATAGGCACCCATTTTAACTGCGCCTTCAGCCAGCCTCCATGGGGACCTTTTGGTTTGGGGTGGGTTTTCTGTCTCGGCCCGCCCGGAGGAGAAGGTGCCGCGGTAGCTAGTTGCCAGCCTTGCTTGCCAGCCTCCGGGCGGCAGCGCTCCCGCACCCCGAGACAGCGCGCAGAAGGGGCTGCGGGTGGGTGGCAGCGCCCGGCTGGCATCTCATGGCGGGCAGGCGCCGCCAAGCCGTCCTTGCGCTTGGTCCGTGGTTTCTTCTCGGCGAGCTCAGGCCAGGAAGGGCGGCTCGCTAAGCCTGAGGCGGGAGCTTGCCTTTGCCTCTGGCCCCGCCCGACCAAGGGGGGCTCTCCGCAACAATCGCCTTATCTTCTCTGCCCGTTAAGAGGGAGACTCCAAGGGGAGGAGGGGAGGAGGAGGAGGAAGGGGGGGTTTTGTTGGAAGCATTTTAAAACCCAGTTCCTCCCTCCGGCTTCACATTTGGCCGCCGCCTGCAAACGCCCGGTTTGCAAGAGCTTTTCCACCGCTGCAGTTCATGAACTTTAAAGAAGATATGCTGTCGAAGCCTGAAGCCAAAGGGGGAAAGCTCCCTGGAGAGGAGCTTGGGCAGGGCTGGGCACGAGGAAAGGACCGGGCGGAGACCGCCTAATTGCGAGCACGTCGAAAATGCCTCGCTTAAAGCGCGCACAAGTGTGTGTTTCGGAGCAAGCAAACAAACAAACAAAACCAGGCAACCACCCCAGCCCGTCCTCCGCTCCTCCCTTGCGGAAGGGTGTGGGGAAAGTCAAAACCATCTGCGTAGCTGGGACTAAGATGGATTCGGCAAGAGCTTGTTTACCAGCCTCTGCGCAGGGAGCAGTAACTTCAAAACGGAGCCAAGTTCCTTCGTTACAGAGCAAGAGTTTTTTTTTTAAATCGTAGGAATTAAGGATGGGCTTTCCACGCTGCGAGAGGCAGACCTGGCCCGGCGGAGGGGGTGTCTGCAACAAAAGCCCCCTCCCCTTTTTTTAATTCTGAAGCCAAAGCGCGGTGTCCCCCCCACCACCACCTTCGCGCACGGCAGGCGAGCCACGACGACGCCTGACCTAGATTTGACGAAACAGCTGCTAAGGACGAGGATGCAGAAAAAAAGAACGAGAGATACAAAAGGGAGTCAGGGCGGAGAGGACAAAAAGTTTTAATTTGGAAACACTTTTCTTGGGTGCAATCATCCCTCCCAAGATTGCGCGTCTCCTTTTTTTCTGATTCACCGGGGCGGGGAAAAGATGTCCCTGAGAACCGCTGGATGACCCAGATTTTTCCGCCCGTCCTCCTCCTCCTCCTTCACCGAGTGGAAGAAGAAGAAGAAGAAGAAGAAGGCGTTGCTGGGAGCGGAAGAGTTAACCCGCCTCGGCTCTTCAATCACGGTTGGCAAATTTCACTAAGCTCGCCACAAACCCCCATTGAGGGGCAGAGGAACCCGTGCGGGGAGAGAGAAAAAGAGCGCGCTGATTGATACTGCGCCGGAAAGGGACGCCAGGCGGAGAGGGGAGCCCCGACGACGACGGCAGTAGCAGCACCAACAACGAGAGCAAAAACGACGAAGCTCAGGGATTTTTTTTAAAAAAATACATAATAAATAATTTTTTAAAAAACCCAGCCTTTGCGCTGAAAAATATTTGCAGATCCCTCTTTGAGACAACCCTAAGCCACGCTCTCCTTTTGCAACGGAAAAGAGGCTTGGGAGGGCAGGACCGCGGCGCTGCCATGGCGAGAGGCGCCCCGGTCCCCTCCCCCGCCCCAGAAAAGCTTCCCCTCCACGCGGGTCCGTCGCGCGCACTTTGGGCGCCCGGGAGAAGCAGTCGGAGAGCCAAAGGACCAAGACCGCGCGGGGCGCAGAGAGCGAGGAAAAGCGCACGAGGGGAAGGAAGGAAGGAAGGGCCTTTACAAAACCAGGTGCGGTGCGGTGGGGTGGGGTGGCCCTCTCCCTCCCCCAGGTGCCGACTCGGCATGTTTCAAGCCCGTCCTCACCTTCTCGGGCGTCCGGTTCCTCAACTCCAGGTTAATGCGCTTCCTCATCTCCATTTCCCGCACCTTCGCCGCCCGGCTGGGAAAAGCCGTTCTCCAAAAGTAAAGGGAGGGGCGCAGGAACCCCAAAAATAAAAGGTGGGCGGGCGAGCGGGTCGGAGGAAAGGGACCCAAGTGGAAAGAGGAGCCCTCTCCAAATCAATAAAGCAGGGGCTCCGAAAGCGAGACGCGAAGGCCCGTCGGGAACTCTGGTGTTCGTGGTGCCGCTGCCGCCCCCGAGCCCTCCTCCTCTTGCGAAACACTCCGCTCCGCTCCCTTCAATGGCCGCTCGCAGACTGAGCCTCCATGACACGGCGCATGGGGCCCCCTGGCAGACGCTCCGCCTTCGCTTCCTCCGCCGACGAGCCTCGCTGTCTCGGGAGCGCGCGCGCTCTAGCTGGCCTCTGGACCGCAGGAAGGAGGCCCGGGGAGCAGCGGCGCGCCCGGCAGGGAGGAGAGAGCTCGGGCGGCAACGAGTGGCTGGCACGGACGCCCATCAGGCCGAACGACCCGCCTTCCCGGTGGCGCGCTTCTGCCTTCTTTTGTGTGCGCCCTTGGCGCGCTGGAAGCAACGCGCGAGCGGAGGCGGAGGGAGAGAGGTGGCTTTCCCCCCTTGCCGGAGCCCAGCCAGGGCCAAATTTGCACAGAGTGGAGGCCAGGCCGCTTGCAGAAGACCGGGTGTGGGCGCTGTGGCCTCGCATGCAAACCTCCGGGTCTTGGCTGAGGACACAGTATTCTCAGGAACTCGGCCTAGGTCACCTGCCTTTTTTTTAAAGCTTAGTGTAATGCGAATTGGAAACCAGATTGCCCAAATTCGGCATCCTCACCAGGACAAGCTCCTGTCTCGCTTGTCTACCCATAACAACTCCGAAAACAGCGTAAGCTAGCTGAAAGCATTCCTTTAAAACTTTTTAAAAACCACTTCAAACACCAAGGGCCAGACAGAGTAGTGCTGCCATTTTGGCTCTCTGCAAAGAGGGAGCCAGAATTACTTTCTTCAGGAGGGACTTCCACAGTTGAGGTTCTGCTACAGAGAAAGCCCTGCAGAGACAGCTAAGCTGGACAACGTTGTGCAGGCTTTGTGACTTGAATTTGTGATTCTCAAACAGCCCAGGTACCACCATTGAGACACAGAAGCAATTCAGGTGGGATGCAGGCTTTTTAGAATAATGGCAATCCATTTGTTTTCTCTCTCAGTATCCTATGGCCTCTTGCAAGAATCACATGCAGTGTATTACTCAGGACACTTGGATTATTATTTTTTTATGTTCTGGTCACAGACAGTAAGTACTAACATGGTGGCGGTAACTTGAAACAATTGGTGTTTCTCTTGATCCTTCATTTCCTTTGCCCACAATATTGCTGTTTCATAGTTGCAATAGCAATCCAATGCGTAGTCAACGGTATTATTACAATTTTTATTCATTTAAAATATTTTCGCCCTGCCTTTCTCCTTAAAAAGACGTCAAAGTGGCTTACATCATTAAAATATAATATTAAAGATAAAAACAATATGTGTACAAATACTAAAAAGAATCAGACAAATACCACTCTAAGAAATGGTAAACAAAAGCGACACTAAAACACATTCAAAGCAGTAAGCCATAACAATCTACTGTATTTTAAAAATGCACTCAGCCATTCAGAAAGCTTGCCTGGAAAGAAAGGCCTTTGCTTGCTTGCAGAAAGACAGCAAAGATAGAGCCAGTCTGGCCCAGTGGGAGGGAGTTCTAAAGTCTGGGAGCAGCCACAGAAAAGGCCCTCTCTTGTGTCCGCATCAGATGCACCTGTAAAGGTGGTGGGACCAAGACAGAGACCCCTCCTGATGATAGTAACGCCCGAGCAGGCTCATAAAGGGAGACATGGGTCTCGAAATAGCTTTGACCCAGGCTATTTAGGGTTTTGTAGGTAAAGAAACATCTCTTTGAATTGTGCCCAGAAATGGATTGGCAGCCAGTGGAGGTGCTGTTATGGGATTATGAGATCCCTGTAGCCAGTCCCAGTTAGCAGTCTGGCTGCTATGTTTTCAACCTGGTGACGCCTCTGAGCACTTTCCAGAGCCAGGCAGGGAGAGAACACATTACGATGATCTAGCCAGGATGTAACTAAGGCATGTGTCACTGTGGCCAGATTAGACCTCTCCAGGAACGGGCGCAGTTGGTGTACTACTTTTAATTGTGCAAAGGCACTTCTGGACACCACTGAAACCTGGACATCCAGGCTCAGAGATTAATTCAGGAGCACATCCAAGCTCACATCTCTGTTTTCAGAGAGAGTGTAACCCCATCCAGCACAGACTGCATCCCTATTCCTTGATCTGCCTTTTGACTGACCAGGAGTACCTCTGTCTTGTTGGGAATAAATTTCAGTTGATTCACTCTCATCCAGTCCATTATTGATACTAGGCACTGATCTAGAGCTGAACTGTTCAACTAATAATGGAATTATTTCTATTTGTTTTCTTCTTGCAAAATGATTGCAATTTTATAAGCCATCAAAACCCACTATAAATGTTAAATACAATAACAAAATGCTTTTAAACACAACATTAACTTATCTTTATTTGAGTGATTGGTGAAAAATAAGGGTGCAATCAGCTGGCAGGAAAAACATGCATCCGATCTCATCAGAAAGGGTCACTTTGCAAGGAGCAATATCCCTCAAAGCAGCTTTTCCATCTGTCACCCCAGCCTGTCCCCTGAAAGCTGTAGGCCTACAGCTGGAATAAAAAGGTCCAGTTTGGGCATGGATTGGGATCAGGCTGGAGTACAATTCCCCTTACGTTGTGTGATCCTGGGGACTTAGATTGCAGCAGACATCTCCACAAGTGGTCCAAAAAGGAGTTTTCTCTTTTCCTTTGTGATCTGCTGAACTGAGAACAGCTGACACAATATTCCTCACCCTCCAGCGCCTCACTCCAAGATTGGAGTCCATTTACCTGCAGGGCATGTAGTGGATCTCTTGGTATTATTTTCAAATATCATGTCTTCTGATCAGGATTTTGAAGTACTGTACATACTGCAAAGAATTTTGAAAGTTTGTGACCTGGTGCTGTAGTAGTGGATTTAAAGAACAGAAGGTGGCGGTGTAGGGTTAGAAAAGCAGCATCTTAGGGAAAAGCATAGTCATACTGCATTTTTATGATGTCTCAGAAACACCTAAGTAGGAAAGCAACTCAATTGTGTACATATGTGTTCAGAAGATCTAGCATAAGTGTGCATGGGAACATAGCCACAGTGTGTTTAAAAACACTTTATAGGAGCCTGTAGAATAACTGGAGAATGTTTAGCTAATTGATTGCTTTCCTATTAACCAGTTAAGCAATCCGTTCATCCTGTACTGCGTTCCCTTTTCCCCTCACAATAACAAAGGAAGCATGAGAAAACATTGATGTTTTCAGAGTTTGTATCCATGCTGGCTGCTACATGTGTCCCCAAAAGTAATTTTCCCAAGCTCTGAATTGATTGATTTACTGAGTAGAATGTAAACATTGCTGTTTAAGGTTCAGTTTTTATTTCCTGCTGTGGGCAAATAATTAATAGAGTTACACCCACAACCGTTGTGTTCAAGAGGACACATTTAGAGTACAAGTTCAGGTGTGGATTGGGTTATACTAATAAGGGGAAGGTACAAAAGCAAACAGTTTTTAAGCTAGAAAAATCTTTGCACTCTTGTAGTGAAAATCTGAGAAAATCTGAGAAAAGAAGGTTCTGATCAGGAGCAGTCTGGTCACCTGTTTTGAAAAGCAATGTATTTTTGCATTCATTAGCAATGGTATGTAGCTTACACAACTACCTTGTATAAAAGTAGAGTGTCAGACTAGATGTTAATGGAAATGTGTATTTTTTTTTCTGATTAACACATCTTCCCTTCCACTACGGGATTTCCTCACAGATGATTGCCCCATCAATCAGACTTGCAAATTAATTTCCAGTCACAAAACAAGGTGTGCTGAATGCAAAATACATCGTTGTGGAAAATCATGTGCTCTGACATACAGAGATCTTTCTCCATTTGATGAGGGACCTCTTTAAAAAAATATCCAAGCTAAGCATATTGTCTGCCTTGACTCTAAGCCTAGTGTGCTAATATATTGTCCTGAATAGCTTGGCGTTCAACACATTTAATGTTCTTGTCCACAATATACAGAAAAAGAACGGAAAGAGACTAAAACCTGTGCTGCCTCACCGTTTTCCTCTGTGCAGTGTTGTCCAGTTTATGGGTTGCACAGTGCAATTTTATAATATAGGAAGAGCGCCTTCACAGCAGAGCTGGTCCACCAACCCACATGGCATGTTGAAAACAGGGACTGTAGTAATGCATACATAATTTAACCTGTCATACAATGGTGGCACTGGTGCAGGAACAAACCATGGGGATCTCAAGATGAAATGTTTCCTATATTACTAGTGCAACAAGGAACTCAGGTATCTAAAAATAATTTTGAGCAGGTATTATTTTTCAGAATCATGTGTGATGATTTCAAGCTTCAAATATCACCAGTAACATTCAACATCACTTGGGGGTCACGTTGTATTGCTATATAAGAAAATCAAGCACATTTCCAGAATTGTACAGTTCTTTTGGTCTTTGAAGTGCTAAAAGAAAGTAGGATTTGGATTCTCTGAGTAAATAAAGTTCCTCTTGGACGATAGGAAGTCATTTAACAATCTGTTCACCAAAGCATAGTGTTCTTCCATCATATCTGGAAAACATAGGGACAGAAAGAAAATATGAAGATAATTCATGAAAATATATTACAGCTTCCCCTTCACGGATTGCTGCCTTGTTGTGTTGAAGGGGCTTGAGTAATTCAGAGAATCTAGGGGCTATGCCGTACAGGGACCCCCAAGAGGGAGAGGTCATAGTGGAGAGTTCTGACTAAACGCGATCCACCTGGAGCAGAAACTGGCAAGCCACTCCAGTATCTTTGCCAAAAAAAAACAAAAACCCCTCCATGGACAAAAATAAAAGGCTAAAGGATATGATGCTGGAAGATGAGCCCCTCAGGTCAGAAACCATCCAACATGCTACTGTGGAAAAGCAGAGGACAAGTAAAAATAGCTCCAGAGCTAATGAAGTGGTTGGGCCAAAGCCGAAAGGACGCTCAGCTGCGGACACACCTGGAAGTGAAAGGAAAGTCCGATGCTGCAAAGAAAAATACCGCATAGAAACCTAGAATGTAAGATCTATGAACCTTGGTAAGCTGGATGTGATCAAACAGGAGATGGCAAGAAAATAAAACCTTGACATCATGGGTGTCAATGAGCTAAAATGGACAGGAATGGGCGAATTCAATTCAGACGATTATCATATCTACTATTGTGGGTAAGAATCCCATAGAAGAAATGGAGATGCCCTCATAGTCAATAAAAGAGTGGGAAAAGCTATACTGGGATACAATCTCAAAAATGATAGAATGATTTCAATACGAATCCAAGGCAGACCTTTCAACATCGCAGTAATCCACGTTTATGCACCAACCATTGATGCTGAAGAGGCTGAAATTGACCAATTCTATGAAGACATACAACACCTTCTAGAACTGACACCAAAGAAAGATGTTCTTCTCATAGGGGACTGGAATGCTAAAGTAGGGAGTCAAGAGATAAAAGGAACAACGAGTAAGTTTGGCCTTGGAGTTCATAATGAAGCAGGGCAAAGGCTAATAGAGTTTTGTCAAGAGAACAAGCTGGTAATCACAAACACTCTTTTCTAACAACACAAGTGATGACTCTACACATGGACATCACCAGATGGGCAATACCGAAATCAGATTGATTATGTTTTCTGCAGCCAAAGATGGAGAACCTCAATACAGTTAGCAAAAACAAGACCTGGAGCTGATTGTGGCTCTAATCATCAGCTTCTTATAGCAAAATTAAAGTTTAAACTGAAGAATGTAGGAAAAACCACTGGGCTAGTCAGGTATAATCTAAACCAAATCCCTTATGAATACACAGTGGAAGAACAGATTTAAGAAACTATATTTGGTGGACAGAATGCCTGAAGAACTATGGATGGAGGCTCGTGACATTGTACAGGAGGCAGCAACAAAAACCATCCCAAAGAAAAGGAAATGCAAGAATGCAAAGTGGCTGTGCTATTTGTAAGAGGCCTTACAAATAGCAGAGAAAAAAAAGGGAAACTAAATACAAGGGATATAGGGAAAGGTACAGAAAATTGAATGCAAACTTCCAAAGAATAGCAAGGAGAGAGAAGAGGGCCTTCTTAAAAGAACAATGCAAAGATATAGAGGAAAATAATAGAAAGGGAAAAACCAGAGATCTGTTCATGAAAATTGGAGATATTAAAGGAAAACTTTGTGCAAAGATGGACATGATAAAGGACAAAAATGGTAGGGACCTCCCAGAAGCAGAAGACATCAAGAAGAGGTGGCAAGAATACACAGAGAAATTGCACCAGAGAGATCTGGATGTCCCGGACAACCCAGGTAGTGTGGTTTCTGACCTTGAGCCAGACATCCTGGAGAGTGAAGTCCAGTGGGCCTTAGAAAGCATGGCTAACAACAAGGCCAGTGGAGGTGATGGCATTCCTATTAAGCTATTTAAAATCTTAAAATATGATGCTGTTAAGGTGCTACACTCAATATGCCAGCAAGTTTGGAAAACTCAGCAGTGGCCAGAGGATTGGAAAAGATCATTCTACATCCCAATCCCAAAGAAGGGCAGTGCCAAAGAATGCTGCAACTACTGTACAATTGCACTCATTTCACACTCTAGCAAGGTTATGCTCAAAATCCTCCAAGGTAGGCTTCAGCAGTATGTGGACCGAGAACTCCCAGAAGTACAAGCTGGATTTCGAAGGGGCAGAAGAACTAGAGACCAAATTGCTAATGTGCTGGATTATGGAGAAAGCCAGAGAGTTCCTGAAAAACATCTACTTCTGCTTCATTGACTACGCAAAAGCCTTTGACTGTGTGATCCATGCCTCTCAGTTTTTGTTTTTGTTTTTCCTGGCCAGAAGATATGGCACTCTCATCCTCCAGGGCAGAAAAGGCGTGTGCCTCAGAACCTTCTTCTCCATAACCTTGTAGAAGTCTGAAACTACAAAGTTCAGGTGAGGGGCTGTAAAGCTTCTCTCCAGGGGGTGCATCTGGCCACAGTAAAGATCTTGTGGCCCACACCTTCCTTTAGCCAGCGAGGTGGTCCTGGAGCTCTCCATGGTGCCCAATCAACTGCCTGTTACACAACAGGATTTCCTGCATTTTTAGCCTGCTGTGCTTGCCTTCACAGGATTCTACCTACAGGACAGAAGCTTGTCAGCCTAGACCTCATCTAGGTCTCTCTTGTGCAGCTGCAGCTGTAAGAGATGCCAGCGGCTTCCTCTCCAAGCTTTAGGAAACCAAGAGTACAGTGTGTCCCTCAGCATTCTCCTTTGGAAAAAACAAACTGTTACAAGTTGGTTGCTATCCTGAGTTTTCAGGGCTTTTCTTGGAAGTTTTGGTTCTCTGTTATTGCTATTTTGAGATACAATTTTTTTGGAACCAGCAAAAAATCTGGTGGTTCCCGGCATAGTTATTTAGGGTAATATTAAGGGCTGCATACCTTCTAAAATGACATGTAGAATTCTTTCTGGAGAAAGTACAGGAAATGAGGAAGGGTCGAGAAGACAAACATCCAGTGACATTGATGTAAAACCCCTGAGGAGTTTCTAGACGTCTGCCAAAAGAAACAGAATCATGTCCTGTCAGTCCAAGTAGCATCGTCCCTCACACTTTTAAAGACAAAAGTTGTTCCCTAGAAGATCAATAAAAGCTCCTCTGTCTCATGTTTAGGTGTTTCTGTTTTCTTCTGAGGTACAAGCTGAAGGAAATATCAGTTTTCTGTTGGTAATTTGTGGTTCCTTAATTCACTCTTCCTTCCTTGACATGCAGCTGTTTTCTTCCCTTTATGGCTACAGTTTCTGTCTGGGGCTTTTTATTCTTTGCTGTTGAAAACTAACTTGGCATAAATCCCTTTTATCTTGACACACAGTCTTTAAAGAGAGCTCATAAGGAAAATGTCATTACTTGGTTTTGCCTGCGAGGAGCTAGTGCATGTGCAAACAAGGGCAGTTTCTTTTATGGTTTTATATGTACATCACCCCCTGGCTGCAGTTGGAAGTGGTATGGTCTAGATATAAGTTCATTCTTTGAGTAGAAATTGACTTCACATATAATCTGTCATTAGAAGTTAGAATTCCTTAACTGCTGAAAGCCTCCGAGTGCTCAACAGCTGCTTTTCTTAGCCTGTTCTAGGTGTAAACAAAGAAGAAAAAAAGACTACCTGAATCATGTCTCTCCATTAGCAGCTTGTGTTCAGCTCTCATCACAGGCTATTTATAATGCTTATTTCTATCCTCATCTTCAGTTTATGAAAGTGAGATTGCAGATTTGCCCTTTGCCCTCAGGATGTTGCCTACAAAAACTCAAGATCATCCGAGTGAAATGTTAACCAGGCAAGAATTGCAGAATCACTGGAAGGCGACTTACCTTTTTTCCCTCTCTCTCAGTTTCAGGCTCCGGATAACCGATACTGCTGTTGTTGGTGTAATCATATGTGGAGGTGGCTGGAAAAATGAACAGTATATCTACATATAGGATTATTCCCAACCTTTCTGAATTTAAAAATAAAAATGGTTAGAAAAGAGTGTGATTAGCATGACCTGCCCCCAAAGGTTTTGCAGAATCATGGTTACCTATTAACACCTTACCATCATAATAGTCCTCATAGGAGAATTCATCTTCAGCACTTCCTGTCAACAAAACACCCAAATAATAATAGTATGAATAACATGATCTTTTACAAGCTAAAATAGTGACTCAGAATGGTACTAACCCCCTTCCTTTTCAACCCAGTGATACAGTATAATGATAATCACTGCCTTGGTCATTATTACTTAACTGAAACAATGATGTACTTTACCACTTTGGTGATGCAGTGCTTAATACATATTCAAATCTACAGGAGCCGTCCCTCTGCCTCAATGCTGTGGAATCTCCCTCCCCGTGGAGGCCCAATGAACGTTCCCTTGGGTTTCCTTTAAGCACCAAGTTAAGACCTGGCTTCTCATCAGCAAAGCATCCAAGGCCTAGTCATTATCTTGGTTTGGTTTCTGCCATATATGATTGCAGGCTGTCTTTTCAATGGCCATGCTGTTGTTTGCATTCTGCACTATCTTCAGGTCTTGAGAGGCAGACATGGCTACCCCAGAAACCTCTGTCACACACTTTCAAAGCAGTCCACCTGGCCAAAGCATCCAAAAATCGAAAGCCATGCTGGTGTAGAGGTTGAAAAAGTCACTCTCTTAACTAAAGCTCTTAGCCCCTGGTGAGAATAATAGTCCAAACAAATCATCTTTTTATAATGCAGCAGGATGAAAACATCCCTTTTTTTCTTCTCCGTTTTCTCTCTCTGCTAAACTGTATCTATTGGAGGGGAATGAACTACATAAGGCACAGAAACCTATTCACCAAAACACAGAGCTTAGGATGGGGGAAAAGGGAAGACAAATGCTTTTGCTTGAAACTGTTTCCAAGGACTTAACATAACAAATCTGTTTTAAAAAGAAAAATAAATTGAATCATAGACAATCAGAAAGGTCTGTTCCTGAGGCAGCCTTTGTTTTTAAAGGTGTTTGGCGTGAGGCCAATTAGAGATGTTATTAATTGTGTATTGTGCCTTGCCACAAGTAGTACCTAAAATAACAGGTCCTTTATGAGTCTGGCTTTTTTGTTTGTTTTTCTCCTGAACTCTGCCTTTGGTTGAAACAGAAGGGAATGACTCCCACTCTAGAGCTCATACAGTTCTCTTCCGCACCCAGCTCTTTCTGGGGGAATTGGGAGGGCTGTTGATCCACACCGATGGGGTGGATCCCCTTAAGATCTTTTTTTTTCTCCACACGGTGGAGAAAATGTGTTCCTTAGATGTTTTTAGACTGAAGCTCCCATCATTCTGGCCAGAAGAACCATTGGTGAGGCTGTTGGGGGCCTCCAACATCTTGAGGCAGGCTGCATGTTGTATACCTGTTCTCTGCCCATATCAGAGCCATAAAAGCAGCAGAGGTGATTATGGCGAAGGTGGAGGAGGCAACTGAGGTCAGATATTACTTCTGAGGGTAGAACTACCAGAAAGCCATAACTCTGTAACTCTTGGGAGAGCCTCCTAGGGAGCAGCCAACAGAGCTATAACAAATTCTTTGGCAGTGGATCTGGTCTAGAGAGAGTGTGCTCTAGCAGTAGAAAGGCTGGAAAAATAAAATTGCAGCAACCCCATTTAGACTGCTGGCCTGTGCTGCTGTTATTTACTTCTGATTGGTCATGGAGGAGTGGCAAAATTTGACTGGCAATATGTTCAGGTAAACCAAGGCTTGCCTGTCCTTTGCCCAAGATGTGACAGATCATCTTACCATTGATAGAAATAGAATGATTTCCATGTTCTTCCTCGTACATAAATATCATTTCTGCAGCAGATTTTCCTACCAAAATAAAATGTAAAAATATGAGCAATGTGAGAGAGCTATTCTGGTCCTTCAGAAGATACTCCTTCTCCACATGAGCCATTTATTAATTTACAATATTTAGTATCATTCCCTTTATTTCAGATAAAACTCTGGGGGTGGGGGTTCTGCAAAAATTGATAGCGAGAGCCACACCTATGAACAAAACAAGTAGAGAGGGGGCTCTGCTGCCTTTCCTGGGCCTGGGTTTAGGCAACTAAAAGGGGTTGATGGATGAGATGTATCCATTTAAGGTGTAAGGTCCTAAGATGCGGAAGTCTTTGCTCTCCTTGCATCTCACAATCCACAGTGCACTGGTGGTAACCACTGCAGCTTCCAACTTCTGTCTTCCCATTGTCTTTATTTATTTTATTTATTTATTTAATTTATATCCTGCCTATCTAGTCAGTTAAGACCACTCTTAACTTCTTGCTGTCTTTTCACCAGACCACTAAAACATCAAGAACAGGCGAGTTTTTGAGTCCTGCAGGACTTATTCCAGCTGGCCAGTGTAACCCTGGGGAGTAGGAGACGCAGGGCAGAAGAGTCCCAAAACCATCACAGCTTAATGTGGAGGCCTTGGGATCTATAAAGTAATGTCTTAAGGTGGAGATTGCAGACTCATGGATCTCTATAAAAGTAACTGGATCTCTGTGGGTAGTAGATTTCACATCAGGAGACATAGCATCAAGCAGTCTTTCTCTAGCTCTGGGTCCAAAGAGATGGCAGTCACAGGGTGATTCCTCTATTGCCTTTTTCTCCAAGCACAAGGTCTCCATCTTGAGGCGTTTCCATGACCTGATCAAATATTGTCAAGTATGATTGATATTTGAAAGTAAAATATTTAAAAGATAAATGTTTTTCCCTACAAAGATTTTATTCCCATGATTTTCTTAAACTGCTAAAATTAGTTAAGAAGCACAAGCTTCCTTATTAAAGACAGACAGAAAGAAAAACTTCCTTTAAAAGGAAGTGAAAATCAAGGAGCACAGTGAGATCAAAAAGGGCAGCAGAGATAAGAGTCCAACTTAAGCAGATACCCTGGATTGTATTATTCCCCAGTGTCCCTCTCCCTGTTTTGGGTAGTCATCTCTCCCCGTCTCTCTCCTCATGAGACCAGAAGGAAAAAAATAAGGTGGCAGAAATAAAAAGCAAGCAAGAACTTAGACATTCTTGACAGATGCAGGTTGCAGCACCTCTGAAAAAACAAAAAGACAAACAGACTGTGTGGCTTACCTGATATGCTCTGAAGAATCCCAGCTAGTAGGAATAATACGTTGGTTTTTGTCACTGCCATTGTCTACTTCCCTCTTTCTGAGGATCATTCAGAGAATACCTTAGACTAGGAAGAACTACATGTTATAACTGTTAACAGGAAACATATCTATGCCAAGAACTGATTCACCACCCACTATTGTTTAAAGAAATCGCTTTTCCCCTTTTGTGGGGGGAAATGGTCTCCTGTGCTTCCTACGCAGATGCATAATGGCTCTTTTTTTCCTTATCAGGCCAAGGAAGAGCTTCTTCCATGTTGCAGGCTTCCTAGTCATGAGTAGGGCCTCATTCTGTCAAATACATGCCCATAGAGAGCTCTGTCTGTCTTATTGCTATTCTTCTATACACTTAAACGCATTTGTGATGTCACCAATGACTCCTACTATATTTGTGGGGAACTTCCAGATAATTTCAACAGGGCATGTACTGAAGAATTCTTTGCCAGATCTTCACCTGCATGAATAAGCAAAAGGGAGCACGATAGGGTCGTTTCCATGCTACCACCACTTTTAATAACCCTCTCCTCCTGTTGATCTTAATACTGTACGTACCTCCCACAGAGCATGAGTCAATAGCACAAGTCAGCATTCTCCCTCCACTGCTTAGTGAAGCCACACTCCCATGACTATAAATGTAACTAAAAGACTGCTAGTTTTATTGCATGTGGGGTGATTGTACTTCTCATTAAATTAAATCATAATAGAATAGAACTGTATGCCTGCTGTTGGAAAAAGAGGAATGAATAACAAATAACTAGTTACATCCAAGTACTAGTCCTCTTTAAGGTAAAATATTGTAACAGTACAAATTAAACCACACCTTATTGTCCAACGTGAACATGCAAAGTCATTTCAAAATTAAGGAATCTCTTAGCATACCTGATCAGCAACTAGATTTCTAGACAGGTCAGTCTGTGAAACAAGTCAGAGCTGTTGAGTCCAAGTCTAAGTTACATCCTAAACTAAGGCCTTTAACTTGTCTTGAAGTTTGGCATCCTGGATGCCCAGCTAGTTTGTTATGATGCCTGGGCCCTAGAGATAAATCCGATATTTTCAATATCTGTTTGTGACAGCTCCTTGCTTCTTGGTGAACATCATCTGTTTGTGTCTGGGCTGAAATAAAGAGTTTCACAGTTTGGTGTAGGGTAGTGGATTCCAGCCTTGGGTAAAACTGATTCACCACCCACTATTGTTTAAAGAAATCGCTTTTCCCCTTTTGTGGGGGGAAATGGTCTCCTGTGCTTCCTACGCAGATGCATAATGGCTCTTTTTTTCCTTATCAGGCCAAGGAAGAGCTTCTTCCATGTTGCAGGCTTCCTAGTCATGAGTAGGGCCTCATTCTGTCAAATACATGCCCATAGAGAGCTCTGTCTGTCTTATTGCTATTCTTCTATACACTTAAACGCATTTGTGATGTCACCAATGACTCCTACTATATTTGTGGGGAACTTCCAGATAATTTCAACAGGGCATGTACTGAAGAATTCTTTGCCAGATCTTCACCTGCATGAATAAGCAAAAGGGAGCACGATAGGGTCGTTTCCATGCTACCACCACTTTTAATAACCCTCTCCTCCTGTTGATCTTAATACTGTACGTACCTCCCACAGAGCATGAGTCAATAGCACAAGTCAGCATTCTCCCTCCACTGCTTAGTGAAGCCACACTCCCATGACTATAAATGTAACTAAAAGACTGCTAGTTTTATTGCATGTGGGGTGATTGTACTTCTCATTAAATTAAATCATAATAGAATAGAACTGTATGCCTGCTGTTGGAAAAAGAGGAATGAATAACAAATAACTAGTTACATCCAAGTACTAGTCCTCTTTAAGGTAAAATATTGTAACAGTACAAATTAAACCACACCTTATTGTCCAACGTGAACATGCAAAGTCATTTCAAAATTAAGGAATCTCTTAGCATACCTGATCAGCAACTAGATTTCTAGACAGGTCAGTCTGTGAAACAAGTCAGAGCTGTTGAGTCCAAGTCTAAGTTACATCCTAAACTAAGGCCTTTAACTTGTCTTGAAGTTTGGCATCCTGGATGCCCAGCTAGTTTGTTATGATGCCTGGGCCCTAGAGATAAATCCGATATTTTCAATATCTGTTTGTGACAGCTCCTTGCTTCTTGGTGAACATCATCTGTTTGTGTCTGGGCTGAAATAAAGAGTTTCACAGTTTGGTGTAGGGTAGTGGATTCCAGCCTTGGGTAACAAGAGTCTAGTCCTGTTTCTCCTCCTATCATACACTGGTGTATTTCTGAACTGGCCACTGGACAGGAGTAGTAAGGAACGGGATCCCTGCCCAGATTTATCTCCAGTTGTCAAATTGCTTACCCTTAGCGTATGAGTTTGATCTTTGGTGGCTCTCTGGAGAACTGGCAGAGATTTCTACTGCTGAGCACAACTCCAGATTTTCAGACTGTGTAGCAGTAGTTCTCTCTGTAAAAAGCACTTTCTTTCTCTCTCTGCTAAATCATCAAAAATCACTGTTACACTGAGAGTAGAGAGAGGAAGCTTCATGTGTTCCCCCCTCCCAAGAACAGGTGAGATCTTCCCCTTTCAAAAGGGTTGGTGTGCACACACATTTTGGAAATTAGAGTAAAAGCCCCAGAAATGGAGTAAAGCTAAATTGATAGTAAAAGGTCATAAGGGACGAGGAAGTGGTTTAATTTTAACTAATATGTACTTCATCATGACCTCTATAGAAATCCCCTACCTTGATGCTCACGCAAATGTTTCCTGTTAGAGCATCTGGTTGCTCACTGTGTGAAGCTGGTCCAGAGAGGTCTCTTTTGGTCTCAATCCAGCACAGCTCTTTGAATAATTGTCCCATGTGTTGACTTGAGCGTGCAGTGTAAATGAAAGGGTCCCACCTCTTCCGCTTTTGTGTTGGTTAATGGAACTGGCTGCAGTATTCTTCATTATGGAAGAAAGACATTCATAGCAAAAACAGAAACACCTGCTGGGGAAGAGGGAGTCCAAGCACAGGAGGATGTGAAACCTAATTTTCCCCAGGAAATGAAGTAATCTAGTTAAGAAACAGAGTATGCAATCCATTAACTACTGGAGAAGAAATCTTGCCATTTATGCACTAGGCTGACAGGCACATTGTTTGCACTGGATTATAAGATCATTCCTTCACTGCAAGTTTTATATATGTGTGCCATTGGAGACATTCCAAACTGAAGTTAGCGATCCTCCTCTCTCCAAAGCCTTTAACTTGCCTTGAAGTTTGGCATCCTGGATGCCCAGCTAGTTTGTTATGATGCCTGGGCCCTAGAGATAAATCCGATATTTTCAATATCTGTTTGTGACAGCTCCTTGCTTCTTGGTGAACATCATCTGTTTGTGTCTGGGCTGAAATAAAGAGTTTCACAGTTTGGTGTAGGGTAGTGGATTCCAGCCTTGGGTAATCCAGGTGTTCTAGGACTGCAGCTCCCAGAAACCCTAAGCAGCACAGCTGGTGGTGAAGGCTTCTGGAAATTGCAGTCCAAGATTGGGAACCACTGGTGTAGAGGATAAACAGTCTGAGGTTTTGCAAACACATAGGAAGGGGAAGAGGTGGGTTGTAATGCATTTTGTCAGCTTTAGAGTGAGGTTGGGGCCTAGGGCTGGGCTAGGGAGCACAGAACTGATGGTAACGCAAGGAACAAACAATGTGTTACAGATAATACTTCTGGCATTCTTAGTTTTCTACAGATGTGATTCCAGCAAAACATTTTTAGCTGAGAAATCACATTTGCAAACAGATAGTTTATGTCCGGAAGACCAATCACAAAATAAAACAAGATAATTTCCAAACTGTAGGAGGAGTGAAAAGCTCTTGTGGTAGTGATCGAGTGCTTTCAGCATGGGAAAAATATCCATCTTCTAATTATGTGCTCTCGGTAATATAGAACTTGATCCTATCAGTCTGGGTGCAGTAGTCTGTACTCCCAATGCATCTGTATGAAGAGTGTCTCCTTTCTCACATGGAAATAAATTATTTTTAAAATGCAAAAAAGACTTTATTTTAAGACTTGAAAATACACAAAGGAGATAGTGTGCAATATGTGGGTACTTTTAGAGGATTCTTGTTTACTTATTTTGAAGGATGCTAGCCCCTTACATTTATCATCAGAAAGGAAACTAGAGGAGATTCAGAGGGGAAGGATAAAAGATCAGCTCTTCAAAGCTTCTGACTGGTAAAAACATCAGACTGAAGTAGCCTGACAAATTAACATTCTTGGGGAAATGTCCAAGGAAGCGCATTGTTTGGGCTTTCGGTCTGTAGCCGGAAAAGGGGAGGACAAACAGACAAGTAAATGTGCTGTAAGACAGGAAGGACATTTTCAAAGCTGAGGATCAGGGAGCCAAATAATGCTGAGACCACTTTGGGTGGGTTTCTGAGAGCCAAATGATGTTGCAGAGTACCTGTCAGATAGTCCCTAAATCCCTTGAGAGATGTGGTTCAAGCATCCTGTTTAAATATTGGCTGGCTTGCTTCTGGTTTTTGTTTGTTTGTTTGTTTCATGTTATTTAATTGTAGAATTTTTGGTTTTCTTTTGAATGCTGCTGTCTGTTAGATTGCTAGTTACAAGTATTTGGGAAATCCCCCAGTCAGCCAGCATGATCAGTAAGAATTTTAGAGCATGTAGTCCCCCAAAGGCACATTTCTAAGCTCTAACAGTACTGCTTTCGTAAGTGGAAGATAGAATATGAATGATTCTGATAAGTAATAAACAGTGATTAATAAATCCTACCTTGGCAGCTCTACAGATTTCCCAGGCCTGTGACATGATCAAGAAGTCCATTAACTCATGATAAGGGCCCAGATTAGCCAAAAGACAGGGGGTAATTGGGGGGGGGGAGAGAATAATGGGCTAGAGGTAATTTCTGTAATGGTATTTCAGCATGTTCTGTACATCATCACAGTGCTTTTCATTCATTTTCACACAGAGTGGCTAAGTTTGCTTCAGTGTTATAAAGGGGAAACTAAGGGGTGAGACACTGCATCTTGCTTGAAAAGTCGTATTCAGTCTCTCGCAGGCCTGGGTGCATGAATTCCTCTTGCCCACCAGATCCAACTACTGTACAAGGTTAATCCACTGACTGGCTATCAACCTATCACTGGCATCTTCAGATCTTTCCATCTCGTCCTTGCAAAGCTCCTCTCCGCTTCTTCTTGTCTTCGCTCCTCAATGGAAAATCCAGCTGGGCATAGCAAAGACCTTCCTATTCAGCAAATCAGGAAATGCATTTAATGTGTTTTGACAATTTAAGGGTCAAGCCCAATCCCCCGTTAATTACGTGCTTGGCTCCAGCCTTCCTTTTAAATGTGCAGTGAAAGAAGTAGGAAGCACTGAAATGGGAGCAAGACACGTTGAGCCATGATATGAGGCAGTAGGATGTGTACCATCCCTTTGTCTCTGACACAGCGTTGCTTGGATGTCATCCCTGGTATGACACACATTTGCAGTGGAAAGATGGACAGAGTTCCTACTCCAGTCCTCTGAAGATGCCGGCCACAGAGACTGGCAAAACGTCAGGAAGAACAACTTTCAGAACACAGCCAAAGAGCCCGAAAAACCCACAACAACCAGTGGAAATTAAGTTCAGATTAGACAATGCCATAGTCACGTCACTAGAAGCAGAGGCTTCCTTAAGAGACATCTGTTTATCTTAGCAGGAGCTTTTTGTAGTGCTACATATCACAAATGAGCTTGTTTTTGTATTGTGATTGATCACTGGGAGATAAACACTGGGTTCTTTTGCAACTCTGATTGTTTGGTCTGAGAGTAGGGAAGAAACTACATGTTTGGTAGGAAAATGTTATAATAGGAAGAAACCCCCATTCCCCTTAAGGTGTATTTTCACCCACAACTCTAGCCACCAGGAAGCTTTCCAAAAGGGAGCCATACCTCTGGTTCAGCTGAAGATCCAGGTTCAGCGATCCTGGACTGGAATCCTTGTGGGTCACAAAGGAACAAAGGGAAAAATAAGAAGATGAATTAGTAAGATAATGAGCTTTCTCCTTTCCATATTTTATCCTGTTTTTGTTCTTGCACTGCCCCTCCCCCCCGCAATATTAACATAATCTCATTCTTTTACTGCAGAGAATCTAAATGGTGTCAAGCAGTGTTTTCATTTATGTTTGCTTTGCTCCCACCAGTAAACAACAATTGTGTTAACATACATTTTAAAGGACATCCACAGAGGTCCTTGGAGATTAAAAAAAAAGGAAATAGTTGACAGAAAGGACAATCAATAAGAAAAGAGTATTTAAAGAGTAGGTTTATCATACCGAAGAGGCTAGGAAGGAGGGAAAAGGATGGATTTAAAGGGCCATTTCTGGTCTGACTAGAACAGTAAGCAGGGGGTGGATGGCCAAATGTCATGAGATGCTATAGTTGCAAGATCCTGTGTTCAACAGAGAGTTCAACTGGATACCCTCCAAGATCCCTTTCAGCAGAAACTCTCTGTGATTTCATGAATTAAAGGCCTTTCACTTGGAAGGACCATCAGAAATGACAAGTTAAGGGGCCACTGATAGGAAGAACCCAGACCAGTGCTGAACTGCTGAGTAGGACTCAGTGTACTGCTCAGAACAAAGACAGGGAAGTGTGCTCGATTTATTGCTGTCAAATGTGATTCCTGATCTTACCTAGCCTGGAAGGGCAGAGGAGATGACAAAAGAAACCTAGTAAAAGCATCAGAAGCATCAGCACACCCACAACAACCAGGGACACAATGTACTTTGGACAGGAATCTTCAAGTTTTCCAGAAGAGCCTTTAAAATAAAGACAAGAAGTTTGCACACTCAGGAAGTGGTCCTGTTGAGATACAGCCGGGCAGAAGAGCAGGGTGAAGCTTGGGTGGTATGGAACATTTTTTGTGCACAAGTAGTTATGGTGCAGGATGCATGTGGGTAGTATTATTCAAGAGGCAGCTGACAAGAACTTCCCAACAGACAATCAGAGGAGAGCAAAACTGTTATGTTTTTCTTTCCTGATGCTTAAAAACTTCTTTGAGACATCTTTCCACTATTGATACAGAAATTGAGCAGCACCCACCCACCCACATTAAGGGAAATGCAGCTCCCTGGCTATTACAAGGTTTTCCCTTGGGCGACAATTTTCCTCTGAAGATCAGTCGTACTTTTAATGGCTAGGATCAAGGGATATCACTTAAGGGATTCCCTGCTTCTAAAGATCTGCTTGCCATGTTGTCCAGTTCTACCCTGACTGTTGCCAAAGCCGAAGAAGCAGCGTTAGTTCTGTCCACTGCGGTTTTTACACTGATACTCTTAAGATGATTGAAAGCAGAATCGCCAAAGCCTGCTTTGTGAAAACAGCCATCCACCCCCCACCCCCCGTGTTGTTTCTAAAATCACTCACGGTTGTTGAACGTGATGCTCTTCTTCACACTGGTGCTGGAAGAGTTGAATCTGACTTCACATGTGAAATTCTTCCCACTGTCATGCACATCTACTGGGAGGGGAAGGAGGCTGGCAAAGGTCAAAACACCAGTCCTGTTTTTCACCAGAAACGTTGGGACCTCTGGCTGGGGATCTCCAGAAATGCCCCAGGAGATCTGGACCAAGTTGGAGACTCCATGGACCACACAAGCCAGTTGGCCACTGCTCTGTGTGAACTGTGAAGGTGGATCCTGCACAGTGGGATGCAAAAGTGTCACAGTGGTGCTTGGGTTGTAGCTGTCTGGTTGGGGGGAGAGAAAGAAGAAGAATCAGGAGCTCAGTAAGAACCAACCGTATATGTAGGGTTCCTTCCTCACAACATACTGAGATTGTCAGTTTGGCTCTTCCTGGAGAGCCTAAGGATTCTCTGAAGATTACTTTATTCTCCTCTCAATGGGAGGATTGGAAAAGAAGCTTCCTAGCTAGAGAGGAAGAATCATGGCTGTCTTCTCAGAGATATCTCAGTCCATGTGAGATGATCAGAATGTGCATGTGTTCATTTACAGTATTTCATTTTTTTTACCCCTCATGTTCCTCAGCCTTTAGAAACAACCTCCCCTCAAGGGTCAGCTTGTGTTTAAAATCCAGTATTATGTAACAAACACTGTGGCGGTTAAAATAAGAGTGGGCAAAACCAACCAGCAAAAAAACAACACAAGGGAAAAGAGAGCGAGACCAAACCCAGATACAATAAATCAATCTTAAAAATACACCTAAACCTCATACGTGTAGAGGCAATGGTACCTCTCTCTCCCTGCCTCTGCTCACTTACCTCCAACAACCACTGAGGATCCAAAATAGAAGTTTCTATGTCTTCCAGCACACAAATATACACCAGTGTCATCCATCTGGGCACTTTGGATTTCCAGCACCACCTTCTTTTTTCCACTTCTGCAAAAAAATGTGCCTGTTGCCTTGTCACCACTGCAAGTCTTGATTAAGACAGGTACTTCACCATTTCTCCTTTTGTACCAGGAGAACGACAGTCCACCATCCTCAACTTCTTCTCCTGTATTGCACAGGATCACTACCGTGTCCCCAATCTTCACAAACTGGAAGTGCTGAGTGTGGCATGGGAAAAACTGAATTTGTAATGCTGTGGAGAGAACACAACAAGGACTGCTGTAAATAAGCATAAATAAATAAATAAATAAATAAATAAATAAATAAACAAACACATAAATAAACAAATAAACAAATAAATAAATAAATATTGCTGCCTTTTCCCACAAAAGTGTTTGGAATGGTTGGGAATCCCTACGTGGTGCTTCAGAGATGGCTTGCACCGTGACTAGTGAAACAGCACATTTCAAGGCTCTCGCTTACAGCAACAGCCTCACAAGGGGTTGAACAGAAAAGCAAGGAAAGTCGGGCATCAAGACACAGGTGGAAAGCAGGAACAGGAGCATTACCCGTGGAGACCAGAATGATGGATTTGGCCAAGAGCATCTCTGGAAAGGGGAATATCCTGAGGCAGGAGTCCCGAGTCTCTTTCTGAAGTGCTGCTGAAAGAAAAGGAAAGGAAGGGTCTAACGTGGGGGGGGGGCAGTTGCTTGTAAAGGAACACCTCTGTGTGGGTGGTGGAGTGTTTCAAAAGAGTTTCAAAAGAGAACTGTAGTGAGCCGCATGATGAGCCAGAAGAAGAGGTTCAACCCAAACCGCCTGCCTTGACCGGAACCCGCAGCAAGACGTGGACCTCTGAGGGCTTCCAAGCAGCGGGATTGCAGGTCCTTTTTCTTCAGCTCCTTCAGTTGAAAGTGCAGCCTTCTGTCGGTCCTCCTGCCTGTCCCTCGGACTGGCTCGGTTTCATTTTCTGAACGTCATTTGTTCCTTCCCAAGGAATTATAGAGAGTTGGAAATGCATCGCAAGAGAGGAGAGTAAGACTAGATCTGTTTCCAGTGGTCCCTCAGAGCTCCGAAAAAGAGGGGGATTAGAAGATGCAGCTCCCCTTTGTCGGGATGATCCTGTTTTCTCTGCACAGTGAGTATGCTCAAGATCTGACTTTGTTTCATGCTCTTGCTTTGTGTCATTGTGAAAACAGTGGGATTTCAGTGGACTAGACTGCAATAAGGGTTCTGCTTTCCAGGCTACAATTCTAAACCCCCTTTACCCTGGGAGTAAACCCCACTAAACTCAGTGAGGCTTCCTTCTGAGTAAGCCTGTTTGGTACAGTATTTTGCCGTATATGTTCTCAGCCCCCGGGGGTAAGTGGGTGGGGAGACCAGAATGTCAAAATCCATGAGTTACGTTTTTATTTCTTGTATGTTATTTTGTTTTATTATCTGCAGAGCCAGGAGACAATATTATTCCCAGAGGACCATTTATAGTAAGACCTTTTATAATAGTCCTCCCTGTTTTCAGGCATATCAACAGGTATCTTCAGACTGTGGCCTGTGAATATTTCATCTCCTGCAACTGAAGGGATCTAGTTTAACCCACGTTTTGAATGTCTGAACCACACTATTTAGGGCAGTTTCCAATGCATTTAAATCAAAATTCCTGAAAGTATATAGATTGCCAAAAGTTTCTCTCCTTCCCTGTTGTAGCTGCCAAAGCACTGGAGAGCTCAGAAGCACCTCCGAAGATGGCACGGATCGTGGCTGGTCTCGGGGAGACTGTAACGGTCAACTGCAGCCTTCCAGCAGGTTTTCGTCTTGGGCCAGATGACATCAGCTTTTACAAGGAAAAACAAGGCCAAAGCCTGGAGAAGATTGACTTCCCTTCTAAATACTCAAACAGAGCAGCTGGAGATCCATGGGCTTTGACCTTGCGCAACCTGGAAAGAAATGACTCTGGGGTGTATTATTGCGTTGCCTTTTTAAGGCAGAAGTTCACAATCAGAAACGGAGTTATCCTGATTGTCTCAGGTAAGTGTTGGGGGTGTGCTCTCTCTCTCTCTCTCACACACACACACACATCCTTGTTTGTTCATTTTTAACCCATCCGTTTTAATTTACAGAACTTAAATCTCTTGCCATCTCTATTTGGTTTAGTACTTCAGATAATATTCCTGAAAAAAGCCGTTCAGACGAGGGGGTCTGTCCAGGACGTCCCTCAGCAAAGGCTGAGGTAACAGCCCTTTGATTCTACTTTGAAATCTCCTGAAATTGTTTTAATTTTTCTCACCACTTTCTTTGCTGCACAGTGGCCACCTTGCTTGGTTTCCTGTTTCTGATGTATTTATATTTTGTCTTTTGAAAAATTATTATTTTTTATGTATATTACTCATCTTGCAGACATTCATATATTGTAAGAGAGAAATACAAATAAATGTTTAACAGCCTTATATTGAAAATAGGCTACCCATTTGCCATTGAAATCTTCTAAAAAAATACACATCTGCTTTATTCGTATTTTTATTCTTACTCAGTATGCTCTTCTCATACTGTTGAAACAGTTCCTGGTTTCTAAATGCTTTCTACACTTTTTCTCCTTGATTGAGGCAAAATTTCATTTTCTCTTTTTTGTTCTGTTTTTGTTTTGTGTCCTTGAGCTGTTGGTGGATGTTGGAGGCATCCTCAGTGGCTTGTTGGCTTTCCTGGCCCATGATCTATATAGGCTATCTGGCTTGATGGGTTTGGCTGGCATCCTAAAAAGATGCTTTCAATGGCTCCAGTCACCTTCTTTTTAATGAGTCTTCCCCATCTTGCAATGTGCTACCATTTCAAGTTTTCTGGCTGACTCTGCTTTTGTGGGGAGATGGCCTATATCTTTGTATTGACCTCATTTCCCATTTGGACCCCATAAAGGGGGCCATTTATTTTCCAGTTAGATCATGATGTCTAACTGGCAGAATGCTCTGTTCCTTTGCTCACCATTTGATATGTGAAAATGGGTTCTCGTATCGTTTGTGTTACACTCTTGTGTCTCAGTTAGCTTTTCTGAATTGGAGATGGTGGAGGTAAGGAAAACATTGCATTTTGACTTGCTGCTCATATGGTTGCATAGGCACAGCATTAATCACAAAATGCCTGCAGGAGGGGAGAACTTTTTTGTAAAAAAATCTATGATGATCTTCCTTTTCAGGTGCTCTGAGTGCCGTCCGTCCATCCATGTTGGTGCCTTCTGACCAGGACTGGAGTCAACTCAACCACAGCATTCCTCTCCTCTGCCTCTTCTTTGATGCCAGCCCTTCTTGGGATATTGTCTCCTGGAATATCGGCGGAGAAACATCTCAGGAACCAAAGGACATTGAGATGATAGACGAGGAAGGAGCTTTGACCCTCTGGAGCCTGAAGCTGATTGCTCCAAGGACATGGGCTCACGGGGTGTCTTATACCTGTTGGGACCCAAAAAACAGAAGTACCTCTACTCAAGAAAGAGAGGTGCCAAAGACAGGTAGAGTGTGACAGAGCAGATGATCCATGCCATCTGTGCTGGAGAATGCAGTGCCATTTGTGCAAAGAGGTGGTGGTGGGCCAAGATGTATCAGGATACTGGGAGCCCAGCACCACTGGGGCAAGGCCCTGGCAGTTTGGACTGTAAGAATGTAGTCAAAATGCGCAAGTCAAGGAGGTCCTCATGCGGACCCAGCCAGGATATGAGATTTTGTGGGTGAGGGCCTGTGGAGAGAGAGGTGATGTGATGACTGAGCTATTAACACAGGAGGAGGAAGAGGAGCAGGAAGAGAGGAGAAGGCCTTACCCACATGCTGTCCCTGCAGTCTCCCCATCACATATATATGGCATGCTGACCTTTCTTTGGCTCTTTCCTCTCACAGGAACCTGCTTGAAGATGTTACATTTTGGCACACCTTGCATTGCCCTCCTCTTCCTGAGCCTCCTTTTAAGCCTGCTCTTCAGAAAGCATCTTCCTGGAGGTAAAGCGTTTTAAAGACAAGTTGCCCAACCTTTAGACCTCTCTCAGTGGAGCTGTGTTTGTCTGTGCTAGCATATCAGGCAAAACCAAAGTAAAAATAAAGAAGATAAAACCATTGTGGCCCCTTAAGGACTAACTGCTCTTTAAGGTACCACAACCGTTTGGTCTTCTTTCTTTTTCTTTTGTTTTATGCCCAATATGGAAGTGAATGTTGATTTTTTTTTTCTACAAATCTGTTTCTGCGATTCTCCCACAGGAAAGACAAAGAAAACAGAAAATGGAATCCCCATGAGAGAGATCCCACAGGTATCTGGTATATTTATGTGGTAACCTTTCAGGAAGACTTTGCTGAAGGCCCTCTGAGATACCCTTCAACAATTTGGGCACTGGGTACAAAAGGATATTCATAGAAGTGAAAGTTGGGCCAGGAGATCGAGAGGCACGCTGGTGGATGAGTATTTGAGCCAGCGTGGAAAGCCAAGTCTATGGCTCTCTGTAGAAAGGATAATGGCCAGGTGCTGAGTCACTCTGCATCTTTTGTTTCTGGGTTTTCTTACACCAAGAAATGGTGATGGGGAAAGGTGGGGGACAGAAAAGGGTGCTGGGATCACAACTTACATGAACAAACCTCCAGTACTGGGAACTCCTTTTGAAAATACAAGTATATAACTGGGAGATCAAACTCAGGTTGTATCGTTGCTCCTGAGTTCCCCCCACCTCTTTATTCCATGCTTAAATAGACCGCTTCCATTAAAAAAAATTAAAAGTGACCGGAGGGCCTTTACGTGGAACATTCCGTTGGTCTGGATCAGGGTTTCCTGCTGAGTGCTTGTCCCAGCTGCCGTTTATAGTAAAAAGCAGCACCTACAGAGGAAACCACTGCTGATATCCCAGATGAGTATCACAAGAGGAGCAGGTTCTGGGCTAGGAAGCAGCAGCTCCTCTTTTTTTCAATATAAAAAGCGGTTCTTCTCAACAGATTTTACGGATGTGGGAGATAAAACAATGCAGTGGCTTTGAGTATTTTCCTTTTCTGTTCCAGACGGAGTATGCAGAGCTGACAGGCAACAAACGAATGGTGGTGAAAACGCATTGATCAATATCAGTAACAGTTTGTGCTGTTTTCAGCAGAATCGAAACATAAGGAAAGGGGGTTTATTATAAAGCTTAGCATTTTCCAATTTGCTGAGTTCATGTGCTTGGATTAAACCCTTTTAAAATGCATAGACATGCTCTTTGCTCTCATTCTTAACCATATTCTGATGGGCAAATCCAATTTTCTGTGCATTTTGTGCAATGGGGAGGAAATGTTCTCTTTGCACGTGTGTGTCTTGTGTGTGTTCTCTCCAGAGAACAGTGCCAGAGAAAAGTGCATAGGACGGAAGCATTAATGGTCTGTGGGGAAAAGGCAGAGGGTGGTTTCTGCCAGGAAGCCTTGATCTCCTCCTCCTGTTGTTCTTCTGCATTTAGCTTCCCCCCCCCCACCTATACATAACACAGGAGACCACAGGGTGGGGAAAATAAGTGGCAACTAATAAACTTAGAGATCTTATCATTTTTCTCCATGTGCAACAGAGAAACCACCCTCTCCTTCCCCCAGCAGTTCACTTCCTGCGCTGCAGGGGCTGAGGTGTCTGTGGCCACCAGACCACATTTCCATAGGGCCAGGGTCTGAGCGTCGCTGAGATATTCGGGCACCTGTGACAGAAGTGTTTGTGGTGGCTGGCCGTGAGGCAGTTTCACTGAGTTGTGGCTTGTTTCCGTACAGAGAGGAGGGAGGGCAGGCAGACCATATTTATTTATTTATTTATTTATTTATTTATTTATTTATTTATTTATTTATTTATTTATTATCCCGCTCTTGTTAGTATCACAGCACTACTCTGGGCGGGTAACAGCTCGTAAAACAGAAAACAGAAATAAAAATAGAAACATTAAACACCAATTGCAATAGCTCTTAAAACAACTGCAACCACCAGGCAGGACTCCTCTTCCGTGGGTTCAGTGAATTCCATGGCAAGAATTCACAGGATCTACGTGTGCAGTGAGAAAGCCCTAATCATTCAAACTATTAAATGTCTTTTCCAGGTGGGGCCAAGGTTCCATCCTGCTATAGAGAGATGGCTTTCCTTCTCACACCTATCATAAATCACACACATAAATGTGTCACAGACGTGTCTTTAGCCTTTGCCAAGTACAGCATACATTTATTCCTTTTTAAACTTTACATCTCCAATGTTTTTTAAAAAATTAAAAAAATAATAAAACAGTAATACCAGAAACAAAATGCAAGTTGTAACCAGCAGATAGATAATACGTTTATAACAAAATTATAAAGATTTGAGCACATAGAGATTAACAAAATCAACTTAAAATCAGCATCGGGATGAAGTGAGAATAGAAAAGACATCTACGTCAAGTCAGTCCAGAAGGACATTTTAAATGTTTGGAAGGTTTGATCCTCTTGGCTTGATACTCTTGCCCTCTGGCGCCTGCTCTCATCCTGCTCCACAGAGCGCTCTCCGTGGTGCTGATCCCCAGTTACTTTGTTGCATTGGGACAACGAGGGGATTCCAGCATAGAATCATCCTTTAAAAGCCAGGCTAGTGAGAAGCATAGTGGCTTCTGCTTTCTTTAAAGGCCAGACAGATTGGTCAGGGCTGGGTTTCCACTCAGCTTGAAACCAGTGTGGGTAGATGGTTAGAATCATAGCCTTAATCTGGCATGGGTGAGTGGAAGCAACAAGTTGTTGAGGATTGTATTATTGTCAGGTGTGAGAATATATTCCAAGTGTGAGATATGCATTGTTATAATAATATACATAAAGCAAGTGGTGGGATGTTTATTTAGGTGGCTGTGGCCTAGGGTTTTATTGAGCTGGTATAGCATGTGGGGACCTGGATCCTAGATACAAAGTAATCTGCCCTTGTTTGACTTCCCAAAGGACTTTGAGGGGATGGACACCATAATAATCAGCTTGGTCAATAGAGGGAAGGCTGCACTTATGAACATAAAGTCAAAGATTCATCATGGAAGATGTTTAGGAGCTAAAAGACTCTTTCATTTGACCCGGGAAGACCGGCTTTAGAGTTCTACTTGGCCAGGAAGAAGTCTTGGCCATCTCAGTATTTTTAGGAAAAGATTTGCTACAGCCAGCTGCGTTTCCTACCAAAGAATGGGGAAGGGAAGAAGAGAAGAAAAGGATTTCCAGGGAAGTTTGAAAACCATCAGGTTTTCAGTGGGCAGTCTGGTGTCCAACCCTGAGCCTGGGAGGCTGGCGATTCAAACAGCACCCAACCCCAAACCCCCACCTCCCAGACTGGACCTGGACATCAGACAAAATACAGTCTGCAGGCTTAAGTCTCCCATCTGTAATAAGGGAAGAAGAAGAAGAATTGTGGAAATAAAATGGGTTGTGAGACAAGTTGGTGAAGATCTTTATGTCTTTCTAAGCGATTGTGGAGAGAAAAAAAATGAGTGTGATTTGAAAGAAAGAGCAGTTGATGATTGTGGTACCTTTTCCTGCCCAAGTCTTTGTCCCCCGGTGCATTTAGAAACATGGTCAGCTAATATGTTGGCCACCCGTTTTTTCTAGTGAGGCTCCTGTGCCTTGAACAGCTTTATGAGGGAAAAAACAACCCCTGCAGGGGATCCCCTTGCTGTCACTGCAAGATGGCTCTGCCTTCTTCAACCTGTGCTTTGCCTGGAGCAGTTCAAGGCACGGGAGCCCTGCTAGGGAAAATGTTGGGCTCCCAAGAAGCCAATGTCGCCTGAAGCCATCTTGACACAGACGTGGATAGTGGCTGCTGTGCTGTTCACTGTTTAGTACATACTTGGGCAGCTGCAGCTTTTCTTATCTTGCTGTTGTTGAGTCTGTCCCCGCTCCCCGTTTGCCAATAACAGGATGTTTTTTGAAAGACTTTTTATATAAAAAGGTTGTTGCAGCAAAAACAACAAGGTCCCTACTTTGAAAGAACGACAACAACTGTGAGTCTTGTGGCCTCTTGGAAGACTAAAACGTTCTTCCATGGCATGACCCCGGGCAGTTGCCCACTTGAGCATCTGCATCTGCTTATTCTAAAGAAAAGGGCTGTAAAGTGCCACAAGACTCTGCTTTGGTTTTAGTAAATACGGTGTGCTCCTTCGCAACGTATTCCTAGGGCTGAACCTTCCCTTTTGGGAAAGACCTGCCCCTCTTCCTAGTCTATGGGGTGTACCATACTTTGGTGCGTCCAGACGTTTTGAGATTCATTTCTGCTGTAAATTCTTTGCCTCTCAAAACCAACAAGCTCAAGAATTGCATTGGCCCTTATTTACCACCCCTCCCAGTTCTGAGGTGGGAAGAGCCAAAAGTGCAAAAAAAAAAAAAAGGAGACGAACGTGCAACTTGTGATTTCTTCTTCCACTCCCTTTCCAGTTCCTTGACGAAAGCGGAGGCAGATGTTGTCGTTCGCAACAACCATAAGCGGAGAAACTGACACAGGCCCTTTCCTCTGCCCAAGGAGCCACTTAACATGTTTCACGAGGCGCAGTGGCCACAGCTGCTTGCTTGCTCGCTCAGCACGGCGCCTTTCGCTCGGGCTGGAATCCAGGATGGTTGCCTGTCTGTGGCAAAAGCATCTGCGGAGTCTGTTCTGCAGTTTGTCACAGGATATGGAAACCGCACATGCAGGGGGAGAGAGAGAGAGAGAGAGAGAAGGTAGGCCACCTTATTTCTATGTTTCTAAGAAAAGGGGAGGCACCAGATATTGGGTGCTGAGCAAATGTCAGCAGAGAAAGGAAGGAAGAACTGGTGCCACTGGCGAGGCCTCCCTCTGTGGCCATGCACTCGTTCCCATCTGTGCGTCCTCCTTAAAAGACTAAGGGGCAGCCAGTTATCTTTTGCCCTTTCCCCTCCCCTCCTTGGGGCTTCTGTGCCTTTGAACAACTCCAGGAGGAACAGGAATCCTGCAGGAGGGGCTTTTTCCAGGGTGGTCTTGAAAGGCAGTGAGAGGCTCTGTTTCCTAGCTCCCTCTTCAAAATAGGCCTTCGGGAATAACGTTCCAACTCTGTGGATTAAGCAGTTACTTTGTAGGCTGGAGATCCTGCGGCTCAGCTTTGGTCACCAGCAAACTTGTTCAACCCGACCACCTGTTGGGATCCTGCTTTTCTCTCAGTTTAGCACCCTAACTCCACCCCCACTCCCGACCATCCTTTAGATCAATTTTTCAATCACACCGATCAGGGTAACACTGCTTTGGGCTGGTTTTGAGACCCACACTGGCTGTGCTTTCCAGAGGCATTTTCTGCTCTTCCTCCTCGCCTTGATTTTAAACATAAATCCCCTATATTTTGTTTTCTGTGACCAGAAGGAACCACCCTGCCCGGAGTCCTGCCCCTGGGACTACAATTCCCAGCATGCCCCGGGAGCGTCGGCTCCTCCCCCTCCCCGGGCGGCTTTGTCCGGGGCAAAATCCTTCCGCCTCGCTTCCGCCGGCGCGGGGGGCTGCGCGGGGCCATGGGGGCGGCCGTGTTCTTCGGCTGCACCTTCATCGCCTTCGGGCCGGCCCTGGCCCTCTGCCTGCTCACCGTGGCCGGGGATCCCCTGCGCGTCATCATCCTCGTGGCCGGGTCAGCGGGGCGCGCGGGGGCCCTGGAGAGGAGGGGGAGGGGAGAGGGATTGAGAGGGGGGAGAATGCCCCCCATGGGGCGGGGCCAAGTGGCTCCTGGGGGAGGGGCTTGGTAATCCCTTTGGGGAAGGGGAGGAGATACACACACAAACACACACAAACGGAGACAGTAAGGAAGACCCCCTTGGCGAAGAGGGTTGGGGCGAGGCTGAGCAGCTGGGCACGGCCGGCATCCCGCATCCCCTCCTCTGAGGTTATGCAAAGTCGTGAGGAGAGGGGGGGAGAACCGGGGAGGCAGAGTCACAAAAAAAAAGGAGAAAAAGGGAGCTGAGGAAGGCGCAAGAATAAGATAAAGGGAGGCTGTCGCTACTCTTCACTGCCCTCCTTTTTATTTATTTTTTTGGGGGGGGGAGAGGGATTGGGGGGCAACAGCTCCCAGTTGGCACGGAGGTTCACCCGGCTGGCTTCCAGCTCCCCATTAGGCCACCTTCCCCCCCACACACACCTGCAGCCCCACACGTGGTCCCATAACAAACACCTCCATGGGGGGGGGGTTGCAGCCTTTCTTTCCCTGAAGAGCAGAGAGGGGGCTGTATCTACGCAGGTGCTTCTGTTGTGTTTTTTTTGCCTCCGCTTGGTGCCAGGAGGAGGTTCTGGGCTTGGGGGGCAAGAGGTGTGGGGCATCCGTGCAGCTCCACCCCACAGGGCTCTTGTGAGATTAAAGGTGAATCTGTCATTTCCCCTCACACATCCCCCAGGCACCTCCTCCCTGGAGAACTGTTCTGTTGAAACCACCCAGAGTTCTGGGGCTTCATAAAGACTAGAACGTTTGTTTGTTCATTAGTTTTTGGCAGAAAGCCAATTATCCCATCATTCAGATGAAGGGGGTTACCGTAGTTTATGAAAGCATCTGCCTGGGAAATCCGGCAAGCCTTTAGGGTATCACAGGTCTCTTGATGGACACGGGGTCACCCCCTTAGATGTTTAAAGTACTGTACTTCGTTAGGAGCTGAAACCCACTGGAGATCTTTTCCTCATCTTCTGTGATGAAGAAATACAGCAAAACCCTGCGTTTTGATTCCAGGGTACAGGTAGTTTGCTGAAAAGGAGGCTTTTCAGCAGAGGTCACCCTGGATCTCAGCTTGGCTGTGGAGGAGCCCTTGATGAGGTGTGCTTCGTTATGCAGTCTGCAAACTCAAGAGGAGCTTTCCACATGAACCAGGAGCAAGCTAGAAGGGTAGAGGTTTTGGCAGTTTAAAAACCGTGGAATACTGGACCTCTAGAAATCTAGATTTCCCGATTCTGATCTTTTGTTTCATTTCGCTTTGCTTGCTGCATTGCAGTTCTTTCCTTCCTTCATGCAAGAAGTGTATCACGGGGTTTGTGGTGGCCCAGCTTCCTGCTAATCCTTCCGAAGGGGAAAGCCGCAGCATTGCACGATGGCTTAAAAGAATCTGCACAAACGAACTGACCACACACAGACACAATTCATGAGTATTCCTTGCAGACAGTTCCTTCTCAGGCCCAAGTTAAATGTGGCTGCAAGCTGGGTGTCAGGATGTACTGTGTGTAACAAGGCTTAGCCTTATCAGCCTGATAAGTGCTTTGGAAGCCCAGAAGCCTTTCCTCCTTCCCTCTGCTTTTCCTTCTGGGATTACTGTTTATTTTATTCATTATATGTTGCCCTTTTAGTAACTAACGTTTCTTCCTGGTATTTTGGGTCTCGCCCTTTCTTTAGTCAGCTTCCCGCACTACACGACAGCCCATTTATATCTAGTGTTCTCTTTCTCCACTGTCCATGCAGGGCCTTCTTCTGGCTGGTCTCCCTCCTCTTGGCATCTCTGATCTGGTTCATTTCGGTGCATCTGAGTGACCGGGAGGATGAGCGGATGCAACACGGACTCTTGATGTTTGGGGCAGCCGTCTCTGTGCTGCTGCAGGAAGCTTTCCGCTTTGCTTACTTCAAGCTCCTCAAGTAAGAGAGCCCCTCTTTTTAAGGCAGTGGAACCAGCCTCATCCTCCTGACCTGAGAGTTTTATTTGGTCATTGTGGAGAACTCATACCTGTACTGCCATAATGCATTTTGATTTCTTACTTCCTTCCAGGAAAGCCGATGAAGGGTTGGTTACCATAAGTGAAGACGGACGGTCTCCCATCTCAGTCAAGCAGATGGCATATGGTGGGTAGACCCAGTAGTGTCTTCCTTTGGGATGTCTCAAAATAACAGTATTTGGCGACGGCCGGATCTCTCTTCCACCTTGGCATGTGCTTGTGTGATTTCTTATCACAACTGCTGCCGATGGAAGAACTGTAGTGATGTGTGCATGAAGTTTGGATCTGGCAACACTGTTCTGAACATGTTCTGCATTCATGCCATCTGTGCCTCACTCTCCTTTCCTGTAGTGTCCGGTCTCTCCTTTGGAATCATAAGTGGCATCTTCTCAGTTATCAACATCCTTGCGGACTCCATCGGCCCAGGCACTGTGGGGATCCATGGAGATTCACCCCATTATTTCATCACATCAGGTAATATCCACAGCGGGAGGAGTGTTCTCGTTCAGAGGGAGCATGTTTGGTTGAATGCATCTCTCCCTGCTGATACTTGCATGGCAAATCCCCCACCCCACCCTGGTCTTTTAAAAAAATGAATTCCCTACAAGTATTTTTAGCTGGATATTGATACTTGGCCTGTTGCTGAATTCTGAATTGTATATCTGTACCTCTATACCATAGTGGTGCCATGCATGTGAGCCCATAGGGTGTGCCCTGTCAGCCCAGGTTGTGTGAAGGGCGTTCCTGGGATGGAGGTGGCCGACCTTTTTGAAGACTCTGAGATCATCCTCTAGCATCTCTTTCTTGTGGCCATGAGCCTTGACTAGCCTTCCTTTCTCTCCCCAGCCTTTCTGACGATGGCCTTGGTTCTCTTGCACACATTCTGGGGAACAATTTTCTTTGATGCCTGCGAAAGGGGCCGTTACTGGGCGCTGGCCGTGGTGGTGGCCAGTCACCTCTTGACGTCTGGGTTGGTGAGTGGAGAGGCCGGTGAGATCAGCTGATTTCAGCACTTTTGAAAAGCCCTTTGAACTCGTCAGCATCTCTGGGTGCCATTTGTAGGGACAGAGAGGGTGACCCTTCCCTCACAGGATGTGGGAGGGAGAGACCTTGGGCGAAAACTCAACTGGCCAGTGTTACCATCCCCATCTGTTAACAGCCGTGGTGGTCTCGGAGGGGGTAGCCTTTGTGGGGGAGGCTTTGGGTGGGCCATGAGGCAAAGGCTTTGGGGAGAGATGGGTGGGGAGGAAGGCTGAAAAGAGATCTGTTGAAGGGGGGGCAGGGGGAACCGTCTTCTTCCTCAGATCCTGTTCATCATCTTCTCCCCCTTCCCCCAGACATTCCTGAATCCTTGCTACGAAGCCAGCCTCGTTCCCGTCTTCGCGATTACTCTCGCCATGGGAGTATGGGCCTTTTTCACGGCCGGCGGCTCCCTGCGCAGCATTGTCGCCTGCCTCTCCTGTGAGTGTCCTGATGCTTGTGCGGGCTTGTGTGCAGAGTCAGGAGGGCAGAACAGGGACTTGACAGATAGCAATTTGAGTTTTGCACTCATGAGGGTTGGAGGAACTGAGCTTCTGTGACATGAACGTACAAAGGCGTGGTTGAATTCTTACAGTTTAGTTTTCCTCTTCATAATTTTTATTTATTTAAGAGTTATTTTCTCAGTTACATTTGTTATCTACCTTTTGTCCATGTTGAAGGTGGTTGGTGAGGGAGTCATATAACCAAGTAACTGGGTTGGTTGACCATCTATATGTTATGTGTCAATCTCTCTCTCTTTCTCTGTCTTTTTTTTCCTTTCTTTTCCCCCCTCAACTGTCATCTCCTGTAAAGGCCGACGAAAAGACGACAGCCACGTGATGGTGTACTCCGCACTGCGGCTTCCTGCTGAGGACTGAACCCTCTTGGTCGCCAGAATCCCTCTAAGGGAGGACTGTCACCCAAGTGCCCTCCACTTGGCAGCTGGGGCCCACTTCGTGGGTGCCCCCTTCCCACCCTTTGTCTGGGACAAAACGGTTCTCAACGTGGCTGGACCAGCCCAAACTTTTGCCTAGCCCAGTGGACTGTCTGTGGAGCCCCCTTTATGGCTCAGATGGCAAAATTCTGTTTCCCTCCAGTGGAGTCTTTCCTCCCCTCCCCAATGCTCCTTTCCCGGAGGATGAAAAATTCAGGTCACTGTTGCTCCTTCCTTCTCTTTGCGAGAGGGAGGGAATGAAGCGAGACTGGGGGATCCCGACACTCCCGCGCCCTGCGTTGGGCCACCTGGTGCCTGCCTTGCCCCTTGGGCCAGGCTTCCCCTAGAGCGGCTGCGAGCCTCTCCTGCCTGTTTTACAGACAAGGCCTGTTCCACTCGGCTGCAAGCTGCTTCTTGGATTTCAGAGAGTTCAAAGGGTTTTGAGTCCGGGATGCCCCTAGCAGTTTCCAGAGGGCAAATGTTTCAGTTGGAACGTTTCTTGAAGTGAGCGTAGGAGGACAGAGTTTCCTGGTCCTGCTGTCGCAAGGAGACTGCAAGCCAGATCCATTGTCTCAACCGTCTCTCCTTTGGGATTATTATTAGATGCCGACCCTCTTGTTTTTTGCCTCTAAGAGAACATCAGTCTTGTTGAGAGTTTCAGAGCGTCCACCTCCCCCGTCTTATAAGCCTATGGCCTTTTCAGCCACAGCGATTCAGCAGCTGGGTCAGCTGCTCCAGAGCAGCCAGAGATCATTCTTTAACATTCGGTGGTTCTTCTGATTGTAACCGTGGGGAAGAGGGTGGGTAGGTGGGTCACCTAGTTTTTGCAGGCAAAACTTCTGAATCCAGGATCTTTGAAAGCATCTTGGGTGAAGGGGCAGGTCTTAACCCAAGAGGCTAACCGTGCGTCTTGGAACTTCACTGGCCTCTGAATTCCTTGCTGGGCTCATGCCAGGAGTCTGAGCCTGATCTCCTTTTTCATCCTTTCTTTCTCTGGCAGCTCCCTCCGTCACTTCGTTCTGGGCTAAAACCCACAGTGCCAGGTAGGAGGGTGGTGAGGGGCTGGAGGCAGGCACTCATGAAAAATGGAGACCCTTTTGAGCTGGAGGGGGGGAGCCTTTGGCGCCTACCAGCTGTGATGGTGATTGAGAACAAGGTGGGTGGGGGCCACAGAGAGTGCCCCCCCAGGTCTTCCCAGACTGCAGTGCCCCCTATGGCCTCTGCTGGCTGCAACTGGTGGTAGCTGTGACCCAGCAACATCTGGAGGACCATAC